CCATAGCACATACCATATCAACATAGTGTATGTACAGTATGTATACATAGTATGTATAATACACCTAACGTGTGTCACGTATATTACACACAACTATCAATATCCATTGTTTGTGATGTTTTTTTGATGGCATCCATGTGTACATCATTATAATAAAGTGTAAAGTAATTTACTATTAAATAATAGAAATTATCGGTATTTTTTGGCATTTTGGTATATCATTTACATAATAGGATCTCTCTATAGATGATATATTGAGCGACCACTAGTTTGTAATGCAATTTGTATTATTTGCCACTTATTGTATTTACAACAGCTTTCTATATTTAGGTCAATATTTGATGTTAAAGTCAGGTCTGGCGTCCAACAAATAGGCTTTTTATTGTATTTTTCTGTTTAATAAATATGTTTTTTGTTTTGTTATGCTTTTACTTGTGTTATGTATAAAAACTGATGGTTTTCAAAGCTAAAGTGAAAAAATCTCAATAATTCCCATATTTAACTCAATTGAATGTTGTAATTGAACTTCACTTTAACTATTATTTTTATGGGTCACTGTATTGCTTTTGTATTGCAATGCAATATTCATAGCTTTAAAAAACATTATATATTTTTCTTTTTTTACTAAACATAACATCTTTTTTATAATTTAAAGTTATGTCTTATTCACTCTTTTGCTGTAATGTTCCCATTTTAGCGTATTTTTGGATACCTATGACTGTAATAATTGAGTGCTTTTTGTTATAATAAAACCTTATTTGTCTGATTAAATAATACATAGAAAGTGACCCAAACGTTGATTGAACTGTTGGTTTTGAAGTACACATTGTACTACACAATCGACTACACTATTTAGCAAATATATGTCTCAATAAAGATTTGCCAAAACTATTAGCGCACATCTCATATATAAAAAGTATTATTTGTAGTGAAAAAAAAACTATTGTTGAATAGCAACTCACCTATCATTGAGTGCTCTCCTATTTGTTAGACAACACAATGAATACTCATTTATATGTATTTTTTAAAACCCTCTGATTGTAAAGTTTTTAATACATTTTTTTTAATATACATTATAAGTAGAGGAGTTAACCTATTTTTTTGATGGCGAAAGTTATAAGCGTTCAAAGTTATACTTTATTATTGCATGAATGTTAACAACTAGTATTACAAAATAAATTCATTGAAATTATTTAATATTTTAAAAATTTTACACAAAAAACTTGAATAAGATTCCCTAACTGGAAACCTCTTTTTTAATTTTTAAAATACAATTTTTCATTTTATTTTTTTTTTGCATCCAAAATCTGGGTGCAGCTCTCAATACATAATGTGATTCATGTTTTTAAATTAGTTTATATTTTAGTTAAACTGTTTGTTTATGAATTGCATTTATTTTTTCAGTGCAAACATTATCTGAGAGTGATATACCCTATCCTAAAGGCTATGAGCACTCTCTTGAATATCATATTTATCTTAATTTATCATATAATTGTAATGCAATTTTTACTGTCATGTATTTTTCCAATTGTTGTATGTTTTTAATTTACAAAACAACCAATATATAAATACTGTTGAAAACGTATTTTTGTTATTTGTTTGCAAATTGCAATTTTATGTTTATCTTTTAAACATATAAATTTGATTTTTATTTATTTTTACTAAAAAATATAGCTTTTTCAAATTATTATTGAATAACCAATGAGTTGAATGGCGAGCCATTGATTGGCGAGATGTAGGGATATCTATTCATGACATTGAAGTCCACATAACATTGATTTACGGCATAAATAATTGAAAAGTTGATCAGAAAATACAGCATATATTATAATAATATAATATATAGTTTTATCTCTAGAAAATCCCAAATCCTATCATTACTATAGTAATGATTGAAAGGTAGTGTTTTTAAATAATACGTTATGATGTAATTTTTTGGACAATTTTGTTATATAAGTTTTTTAATTTCGCAATCTATATGTAATAAAAAGTTTGAGTGTATTTGAAAACAACTTTTTATTATTAAAAGCTATTATTGACGTGTTATACAATTTTCACTATATTTCAGGATATTTGCACCGAAATTTGATAGTTTTTCTATTGTTATTACCAGGAAAACGATGCCATAGACTAAATATATTATTTGTCTGTTTTGTTCACTATTGCTTTTATTGTCGTATTTTTACCTATTTAAATGGCAACATATGCTCATATATACAGTCCTATTTGATCCCATGTGTAATGTATACATACAGGCGCTCCATCACCTGCTTTTAAGACACACACACAAACTATATGAGGGCTCAAACTTTGGTGTCCTCTAAATGATTCAATGCATTTTGTTAAACACCAAAAAACGGGAATATGTTAGCCATAATATGAAAAATATGTTTTTACAGTAAAACAGCAGTTTAGTAGCAATATATATTTGTGGCATATTTTTGTTATCATATACTATATATATATATACAATATATGGTATTATATTTTGTTTTTAATATAAATTTATATGTAGTTTACATAATGCCTAATGAATATATACTGTACTCTCAAATACATTGTTTGTGTGTCGAAATGAACCCAACGCTTATCGTTTAAATCTCAAGTTTTTCTCTATTTTTGATTTATCCCTAAATTTTTTATTTCATTTACAATAATATAAATTTCATTTTTTATATTCATAAGGAAAATAAACATTTTTTTCTTTAATGTTTTATTTTTAACTTAAAACGATTGAATCTTAGTTGTTTTGTTGTTTTTGTTAATTTTTTAAAAGTTGATTTGAATAATTAAATTTACAGAGATAATGAGATATATTTTTAGAGATTATATCTTATTATATTAAAATTATATTTGTTTTTATTAATGTTATTATTTTCAGTACATTAGAGTTAACGTAAATTTAATTAATGATTTTATTATTATTTCTAAATAAAAGTTGAAATTTTTGTTGTTATTCACCAAAATTTTATTTATATATTATTTTATTTTTATAATTTTAATTAATTATAATTGAATAACAATATATCGAAAGCGATTTTTTTATTAATACTTATTAGGTTTTTAAAAATATTTTTTCATCTAAAAGTAAAAAAATAACAAAATATTATTATTTTTTATTTATATCGTGTGTAGTGCTCTTAAATGTTAAACAAATTTTTAAATGTATTAATGAAATATTATATATAGGGTTTGAGAAAAATAACGATTAATTTTATTAATAATTATCTAAATTTATTTGGTTCTCAGTGTTTATTAATGATTTGATTTATTTTTAATTTCTCTTTAATTTGCATTTAAGTTGAATATTAAAGGCTTTAATAAGGCATTTGATATCTGGGTTTTATACAAACCATTTATTTTTTGTTTAAACTAAATGTTTTGCACTCACGATTACATTTATTATTAAACACTGACTTTTTTTATTGATTGATAGTACAGTTATCATTCATTAAAGTATTATTGTTGTTGTTTTTTGTAGTTTTAAATAAGTCATGTTTTACAACAACCAAACAAAAGTACAAGAAAAACAAAAAACAAAATCACCACAATATATATATACCTATCCTAGGCAAACATTTTTACAGTTAATTGTTTTTTGAAATAAATTTAGTGTTTCAAAGAAAAACAATTTTTCACGATTTACTTCACTATATATATCGGAAAACAATTTGTTGTGTGTTTACCTCATTTGTTATATTTTGTTATGTAATGTAATGTTTGGGCCAACGATTGCTCCATAGATAAGACAACAATACTATGGCTAATCTCTTATATTACTTTACATTATAACGAAACTAAAAAATACTTTTATAATGTGATTATTTATAAATAACAAATGTTAGACAATTAGATCATTAGATCCTATGTTTAAAAGTAGATCTTTTTAGACAACGTCACAGCATTTTTTAATAGCCATAGCTGCCGGATATGGTCTCCAAACATATAATTATATAATGAAAACTCTAAAAACTGATCAATTATTATATTTTGTAAGTCTATATATATTTATAAATGTATGACTCTCTCGTCCTGTTCCTCTATGAACGATAAGGTCTCAAAAATTTTTGGTTTATTTTCAATTTCATATTATTTTTATCTTTACAACGACAAGAAATAATGAAATTTATTTATATATGATTTTACGGGCCATACCCTAATAATAACCTCTCCTTTTGAATTAATTTTTCAATTATATCATTCACTCATATGCTCTCATTTGGTCGTCCATTAATGTGATGTCTGAGCCATAGTTTAACGCAATGAATAACTTTTTTATATGTAATTTATATGTATAACAATTGTTAGTTTGTATTCATTTTATGATAAAAAAGAAATTATTTAACTTATTATATGTTTTATGATTGTCTGATGCACTTGAATGACATACCATAGCCAGAGAGACTTACATTGCTCTCACTCTTATCACAGTTTGGTGTGTTTCCTAAGTTGACACCCTATAGTTAGGCATTTTAAGACATTTTTTTTAAATATCCCCACAAAAATATACTCCCAGAGCTGGTGTATAATCTCTCTATAATTTCTATCTATGATTGACTCACTTTTAGAAAAACTTTTCATACCTTTAGATTTCAAGTGAATGTATGTCTATCTCTCGTTTTTCACGAGTGGTTTCATTTCACTGTTTGTTTTGTATTTTTATATATTTATTGTGGCCTTAATGTCACCGCAGATGACGTGCTGATCATAATAGTGCTTAAAAAGCATATTTTTATGTATTGGTCTCTATAGTGCCAGTACTCACACTAAACATACATTTGAAATGAATTCAAGTTTTTGTTATATTTAGTTATTTACCTGTGAATGGAGTGAATGAAAAACTTTTATTTATATTTATTTTGTGTTAATTCATTCGTAATCTATAATTATAAGTTTTTATATTATTTAAAGAGTCCATTGAATTGATTTATTTCACATAATGTTTGGTCTATTTTTCAACAAATATTAATATTATTGTATTGATTGTCTCAACTCTTCAGGCGATCCAATCAGAGATAGAGAGCGTTGGCCGTCGATTCGTGAATGATATTAAAGATAACCACCATTTTGGAAGTGTTGGCTCAACAAAGTTGACGACACTGTCTAAAGAGGAAAGACGTTGGCATTCACTTTGGTTGCGATCGTTAGAGTATTTAATGATTCTTGAAGAGGGACCCCACTGTCCTCAACATTACAACATCAGGTACTGTACCCTATGTTTAGCACACATATTGTCGAAAGACAAACAACTTTTTTTGTTGTTTGTTTTGTGTCTTTGTTTTTGCAATTCATTCATCTGTTGCTACTGTTGTTGGTCTCACACAATGATAGTAGTAATTGAAGCTAATATAGTCAATCATTTTGCACAGACTAGTCATAAATTAACTACCTTTCCCTTTATGTCTATGAGTCTATAAATTGAGTTTTGCAGATCTCATTTAATACTAATAAATGAATGAAAGCTTAACTTATTATTTCATATAATATATATTACTCCAAAAATAACTCTTTTGGTCGCATTATTTAACAATAATAATAATACGAAATGATAATATTTTTTATGTGTGCATAAGTATATTGTGAAACTCTCATTCATAGTATTAATGACTTTAGTCGTGTCCTAAATAAAAATGATTTTTTAGCATTTTCTATATTTCTTTCATTTATTTTTTCTAATGATTTAATCTGAATATAATATACTGTATGCCAGTACTTAAGGAATGGGCTTTTGTTATATACAATAACACTAATAACAACAACAACAACAACATAATCGCTCATTTGGTCGATATTTAGCTTTGACTGTATTGTATAATAACTTTTATATCCATTTATTAAAGTGTGAAACAATCAAATTTCTTAATTTAGTGTCTCTTTAATATACCTAAAAATTAGTTCAAACTAAACATTAAGCTGTCTTTGGCTTTAATATTCAGCATTTTCCGGATTTCTATGAATATATTTTTTTATTGTAATATATTTAATACTGTAATAATGAAACTTAAGATTAGATTTATATTTTTTAGGGTTTATTTTTTACTTTTTAAAATACAAATCTAGCAATTGGTCTATAAATTGATGTGAATTTCATACGAAAGGGTTGTAATTTAAGTGAATTATAAATATAGTTTGCTTTATTTGGGTTTTAGTTTAACTTATGATAAACAATTGTCATTAGATTATAATATATTGTTTTTTAAGTCATGTAAAATAGCCATTTAAAATTTCATGTTTTTAATGTGCTATTTATATCATCATTGAATAATATGATATTTATATATCAAATAACATATTGATAACTAATAAGCCATATGTCTCATAATATATTGCCAAATGATAGTGGAGTTGAAGATCCGTTGCCATTGAAGCGCCATAAGAATAACGTAGGGATCGTGTCCAACACCACCAACACTAACACCTCCAACGACAACAGCGTCCGAATCCGCAATAAAAGAGTACAAACAACTGTTGCAATGGTTGGCCAAACCAAAGACGAACTGTTGGGCCGTAATTGTAATGAGAAGGTGGAGATCATCCAGAAAGACATCGGATACTCGTCTGATGCTGATATGAGTGATGCCGTTGAGGTAATTATCTGTCATAATATAATAATATTGTTATTATATCAAAATATTTTGAAAATCAAAAAAAAATTATTTGCCATAAATTTTTGTTGAAATTTGTTACACACTTTTTTGTATACTTGTCATCGCATGTTGTGTTACATAATGTCTTAGGGATTGCCTCAGAGGCCCAACTATTTAGACTTTAAAATTCTTTTACCCAAAAATATCTTATTTTTATATCAATTATTCATTTTGCTTGTATAGAGAAATAATTTATTATATTTAATAATAAATTTGTTAATTTATTTACAAATACAACTGATATATAATGTATTCTTAATAACTAAATATATAAATCAGTTTAGATATTACAATTTAATGAGAAAATTAAGTAATTTTGAGGTTATTTCTCATTAATTCTGTACAACAGGCTATTAGTTATAAAGTTTTATAACAATAATATATTCATAAAAAAATTTTAGCCTTTATTTTTTATATTTTTTATTGCATTATTATTTATTACCAGTTATTATTTTGCAGATCACCTAAAATTTTAATAATAATAAATATAAATATTTTTTATATAATGAATTAATGTTGTCATTAATTGTGTGAACATTTTGACTGAAATTTCGTTAATCATTATTTAAAAAAACCAGAATTAGAGCAAATTATTTCACACAAAAATAAATATATATATATATTGTTAGTAATTATTAAATCAGTGCTTTAAATATTGTTTGGAAACAAATTTTGATTATTTTTAATTAATAATTACCTATTTTTCAGAAGAAAAATCATTATTAGATTTATTTTTCTCAAATGTTTTATATTTACTAAGATTTAAATTATCGCATGAATTGATAGTAAATAATATGCGATATAAAATTTTATGTGATTTGAGGTTATACTTAATACACTCCTAAAAGGAGTACTTAATCTAATCATATTTTTTGTGGCCAATATTTTCTTTATTATCAACAAAATTACTTGTATTTCCTTATTTAGTAGTATTTATTGAGATATTGGGCACATCTGCAACCCGTTGTATTGCTTATGACTTTAATGATATCTCATTAGCATAAATGTCTATATAATACCCGTCCCATTAACGACATGTTTTTCTATCTCTTCCCCCGCTTTAGGCTCATCCGCACTCAGACGCAACCAACTCAGCCTCGCGGCCGACCCGTAAGCTTAGGCGCCGAAGAAATAGACGATTACCCCGAACCCGACCGTGGAGTTTCCATTCAGACTGGACTGACTGGGATTACTATCAAACACCACTTCATGGCGATTATGTGAGCTCTGAAGACATTTACTATGAAGACGACAAAACCATCAAACAATTGATTGAATTTGGAGAAAATTACGAGACTTGGATTACTAACGATGACTTCGATGAAAGTGATCTCATCAGAGGTATGACATCATCTCATTATCATTCATTGCAATGCTTTTCCTATTTATTTAGTTGTTTTTAATACTTTTTTAAACGCTATGCTAATTGCCTTAAATATTTAAAAATACTGGCGACACTTTTTAATATATGATAATTACATGTATAAACATAGTATCAACTCCTGTATTGTCTGAGCCATACCCGGAAAAGGAGACAAAACAAGTGGAACAGCCATCGTGTGAATCATCCTCGGAGACTGTGGCAGAACATCCTATGCCCACAATAAAGACAACAAAGAGATCAGCCGTGCGATTGACATTTATGGCTGTTATGTACGCAACTTTGGCTATATTTGCTTTGGCATTCACTTTAACCAATTACTCGCCACACATCCAGAAGCTATATCGTCGGCCGCCACCCATTTGAATAGTACTCTTCGATAGTAACAACAATACTGATGTCCCTAAAAAATCGCAAATGTAGGGAAAGGCGGATTTAAACTATGTTTATAATATATTTCTATAATATATAATAATATAGATGTGTATACATACACCTGTACTCTTTTAGGCATTTAATCCGATTATATAATGAATTATGGCTTGACTTATGTAAAAGCAGAGGTTATGCGATAAAAAAAAGTTTTGTTATAATATAAGGTCTAAAATATAAAGAAAGTATAGTTTGCGGCGAAAATATACCCAAAAAATCTGTGATTTATTTTTTATTAGTGACTTTTCTTCTGCCAAACACTCACTGCCTGTTTTTTATAACAGTTGTCTCCAATCTTGTGTTTTATATGCAATAATATATGATTTTTAAAATATAAATATTACAAACATTAAGTAGATATTGATTGAATTGTTTTCAAGATTATATGAAATTACGAGTTTATAGACTTTTGGCTCAACAAAACCTGTAATTTTAGGTCAAGTGCTCACTGTTTTACACCTTTTCCCTTATATTATTTGAGCGATTAATTAATTCAAAATATAAATATTATGATTATTATGATTATTGTTTTCATTATGTTGTTCACAACAACAGCAAACAGTGTTTATACACAAACAAAAAAAAACTAATGAATTAACTCATTATTTTTGTTTTGTTTGGTTGTTGTGTTTAATTTCAACAAATGAGTTGTAACTATACCTCAATATTTAATGCATGAATTGAATGTATAGTTTGTAATGTAAATTGACTGTAATTTAGGTTAAGAGTATAGTTCCCCTCAATCTATCTCTATATCTCTTGATCTAATTGTTTAGCGATTGTAAATCATATGTTAAGCCAATTTCAATCGGTATCAATACATTTATTATAACATTAAAATATTTAATGGACTTATTTAGCCCATGTATATGTTGTGGTAGATATTACTATATGATATATAAGCGCATTAGCAGCCCATGTCTTAGCTACTTCTTATGGTAATATCACTTGAAAATAATATGATAACACATAATATGAATCATTAATAACACCAACCATTGGATTCAATTACAGCCCAGAAATTGTGTTTTAATTTCCAATTTAAGCGAACTTAATGTTAGAAATAATCAATTAATATAACTATTTTTAAATGATTTCTCACATTTGAGACAATCCCATGTCTTTAAAAAACCTAAAGCTTTTTTTAACGACAATTAAAATGTTATTTTTTATTTATACTTATATTTTCATTATTTATTTATAAATTCATTATTTTATATATAAAAAAATACTATTAACTCCTTTCCATTAAAAACTCAAATGAAATTCCGATCCAAAAGGCAATCAATTGATTGTTTTTTTTATTGATTAACTAATTGAAGAAATTGTTTTCCTCATTGTTTTTATCTCAAAAATGATATATTTTAAGGAATTTATTTTATTTCTATAAAAATTTTACTTAAAATTTCTTTTTTATATTCCTATTTATATTTATATATATATTATAATTATAATAATTAGTATTATTAAAAAATATATAAACTTTTCTAGCGTTTAACGCATTTTCTCAACGAATATAATTGACTATAATTTACTTTTACAAAATTATTTTAAAAACTTGTGGAATGATTTCATTATAATTATTATTATAATTAATATACTTTTATTTTTGTTTTGTTTTTTATGACTAATATGTCTTTTTGTTTATACTACCAATTAATTTGTGTGCATTATATTATTTTTATTATTATAATTTTATATTTTGAAGAGTATTTTCTATTGTAAAGTTAATTATATAATTAAGTTCAAATCAAATTTTATGATTATAATTATAAAGATATTATACAATTATTTAAAAGAAACAAAGATATATTTTATATTTTTTCCATAATCTGATAATATTTTGATAATTGAAAAGACGATATATATATGACAATGTGTGTTGTTTTAATTATACAGTATATATATAGCAATAATTAATTAATTTTGTGCCTTTATATATATATATATATTTACATAACTATAATTATCATTAATTTTTATTATATAATCAATTCATTTTCATAAAGAGTTTCTGTAATTTTAAAATTCATATCTAGTCCAAGAAATTCAATAAAAAAATAAAAAATATTATATTAACACGAATTTTGTGCATAAATTAATTTAAATTATTAAAACATAAATTTAATAAAAAAACTACACGCGTAAGTAATTTTTGTTGTTTTAAAATTCAGATAATCATTAATAATCGCCTCAAATGGCCATCAATTTAATTACTTAATAATAGTGTTTCAGATTTTAAAAATGTGAAAACAATTGGTAATGCCTTCAAACAAAGCCCCGGACGACAATCCAGTGCCACAATTATGTAATGTTTATTTGGTTTCACTTTAAAAACCCAAAAGATTTTTTAAATAGAGATAAAATAATAATGAGATCATGAGTTAAAAATATAAACTTAAAATATATGTATGAATCAAATGTTTTTTAGGTAAATTTATTTTAGATTTTTATGTTTTGTTTTTTATTAAGTTATTTGGGAAATGATATCATATAATTGAGTCAACAGATAATTGGGCTCTTAATTAAAAAATCTCTTTTCCTTTTAAAAATAATTATTTTTCAATACAAAAATAATGTTTTAAACACTATATGATTGAATTAATATTATTATTACATTATTAAAAAAGTCAAGTTTGTTGGCCCTATTATGTTATGTATGTGTTGTTTCGATAGTTTATCAAACCATCTAAAAACAGTTGTCTCACAACTATAGTAACAAAAACTAATAGTCGACTATCATTACGTGCTATCAGTGTTTGCAATTGATTTTCAATGGATATTATAACTGCAAAACTACAACAAATGTAAATGAATTTATTCATTACTATTGTATTATACAATATGATATCTATATTACAGTATAGCTTATAAGCTAAATGATAGCAATATTTGTTTGAAAGTGAACTGAAAATATAGATATTATTTTTGAGTGTAATTAGCGAAGCAAATCTAAATCTAATATCCAAAGGTCTATAACTAATTAAATACACAACAAATGTAAAAATATATTTATTAAGTCATTATAATAGCAAATAATATAATGTTATTGTATTATTATTATACTGTATATTTTGTATATAGAAAAACGAGTTATAATATTTTGTTGAATAAATAGGGAATTATATAATATATTCAAATGAACCGTTTTTTTTGTTTGTATTCAAGTTTGTATTAAATTTAATGATAACTGTATAATTAATATACAATTTAGAAAAAAATAAATATTAATAATAATCAACAACAACTACAAAAATAATAATTTGTTACTAAATATAAATTTTAATCCAAAAAAGTCGCACAATGTATTAAAAAATGTATAAACATATTGTGTAACATTATTAGTTAAAGACAATTAAGTGGTTTAAAAAATATAAAAAAGAGGTTTACTATCAGATCAATCATTTAATAAGTCAATGGTTAAGGAGATCTAAAGAGTAGACTCTTTTTTCTCTTAAAGTGAAAATCATTGTATCCCTCATTCACCACAAGATTAATGAGCTTTTCATACATTTTTAAATTAGATTTTGAATACAATTTTATACTATACTATCATATAAAAGTTATATATATATATATATATTGAATATAAATTATTTAGCTATCAATCAAAAGGCAACAGCAAAAAGAAAATGTTTGATAATATTATATACAGTATATACAGATAATATTTTGTTTTTCAGATCAAAATCTATGTTGTATTTTATTTATTGTAAAAACATTAAACATTTTGTAATATTAAGAAATGTATTGATGTTATTCAATAGCAAATATATTATTTTACTTTATAGTAAATTAAATGGAAAATATATAAATGGAAAAAATTTATTAGAAAATAATATGTAATATAAAAGTTTTTCGTTACTATTAGTTTTTTGTTTTACAAGGATTTTTGTATAACCCGTTATTAAAATAATCTTAAACTATAGTTAAGTAGAAAATAATTTTACTTTTTCTCTCTTTCTCTCTCTCTCTCTCTCTCTCTCTCTCTCTCTCTCTCTCATTATTATCATTATTATTGAATAGAAATGGTATTTCGTAACAAAAAAAATATTTGTTTGTATGTATAGTATGTATGAAAAACTCTTAGACCAATAATTTACTCGAAAATCGGGTCAAACACTGTCTGTATATGAAAGCTAACGGTTTGTCCGAATAAAATAAAAAAAATTACAAAATAATAAATAATGAAAAGAAAGAAAGCAATGAAAGACAGATACTGTAGATATACAGTACTAATAAAATGAAAGTATTTTTTGTGTTCAAAAATAAAGTAATAGAAAACTATAAAAATGTTTGTTTAGTTCAAATGAAAGTTACTTTATTTTCGTTATTAGTTTTATAATACTACAGTAGTTTATACTATATATTCAATAGATTAGTTAGTTTTTATGGTACAGTATATGTTTTTGTCGATTGCGTGTAAATTATTTGAGCTTTTTTAAGACCTGCTATTAAAACATATAAAAATTATTAGTTTTTAAGCATAAATTTTAAAATAGACCGTTAAAATTGTTTTTATAATTTAAAATATACTGTACTCTCTCTCCCTTTCACAACAGGTATAAAAAGAGACCAAAGTATGTCTAAAACGAGTAAAATAATCACTTTTTTTTGTAAAGAAAAACTGAAAAATAGCCTAAAGTTTACAACAAAAACATAATTCATTTGAAAGTAAACAGACAGTTGTTTAGCTGTTGATAATGCATTTGACTTTATTTGAACAAATGATTTAATACATAAATATTTATTACATAACTTATTGAAACATATGTAATATAAATATAAATACATTTATATATATATTTAAGAAAAATAACAAATTTAAACTCTGAAAATGAAAAATAGTCTGAAAAATAAAAATAAATAAAAAATACAAATATATGGCCACAAAAATAAAACCTAATCCCCTATCACTAAGATATTCGGATATTTATAAACATAAAGTTGTTAGTGTCCGCCAGTATTACCATTAATAATGGGAGCTATGGGTGGGTTATCGGAGAGTAATCTTTCTTTTTTGATGGGATGTTTGAGCTCCTCGTGCCATTGCGATCGGTCGGAGCACTTGAACTCCAGGTCCATGTGATTGACCGGCGGTAACGACAACAGAGCTCTCAATATGTTCTCAATGCTGGCCCTCTGTTTGAACAATGCGTTTATCACACGACCACCTCTTTCAACGAGCGGTGCTTTACATAAATAGGTTAACAATGAAAGCACTGAATTGAATGACTGAAATTTGGCCGAAGAGTCGGCGCCTATATTGCCATACAATTTATGAGAGAAAAACAAGTCGTTTAGTTGATAGACATAAATAGGGCTATAAATGGATATATTTTGTTGTTTGCATTAGACTTACTATGTATTTGAAATTTGATTCTCTGACAGAGTTCCGCCAGAATCGCCAGATCCAGGATTATGGGCGACGCCAACAACGAGTCCTCACAGGTGTTGTGGACAACTATAGTGTTTTTGCCGCCCAACATAAGCTCACTTACATACTCATCCATAGCCCGTTTAGAGTCTCCCACATACGGCACATATTTTATCACAACACAGTGGTCCGGCTTTTTCAAACCCTCACCGTAAAGCACTTGATTCGAGGCCACCATATCATCGACAACATTAGATTTTGAGATTTCTTTACTGCGAAACTGTTTGGGCGCCGACAGGTTATAGCCATCATTATTACCTAAATGATTGTAGCTGACTATAGAGCACGGCTTAATACCGGCGCTCACCAGAAAATCAACCAACACTGACTTAAATTTGGTTTGACCCGACTTGAAGTCATCGCCAGCTATGAACACACCCTCCCTTTCGGCCAAATCGATGAGTCCCGAAACAAATGTGTTTTGCGGCGATCCGTTTATAAAAGTGCACTAAAAGTACCAATAGTTCAACAAATATGTTATTATTTTATGAAAAATTAGTTTTGGTATTAGATTTGTTATAACAAAAAATAAATCAATTATTAACTACTTTTTCAAGAATAGCTGCCACAGCGTATAGCAGTGATGGCGCCAACTCTGCCTCATTGCGTTTGATTGCGGCCAACAGGTTGTCGGCCGTATCGTGAATGCCGTCAATAATTTCGGTAAACCTCTCAGTATTTGCTGTCCACAACACTATAATTGTGTCCAAACTGTTTTTAGCTTTAAAATCGCGAATATCGGCTCTGATTATCTCAATTTGAGCCCATTTATCATGTGTTGCAATCACATTGTCGGCTCTGTCACTCTGATTGGCCGCAATAAACTCGGGATCATAAATGGCTTTTCGTGGTTTCATGTTTGCCATTAATGGGATCAGTTGTGTTTGTAGATTATAATCTAAGACTTTTGCTCTTTTCATGGTTTCGGCTAAATTGGCGCTCGAAATATCCCAACCGTCTAATACTAGATCATTAGGACTAACCATCGGTACGACGTCTTTCATAGGAATGTATACATCTTTGCCTAAAATGTTTATATTTTTGTTACAAAAATTATTGTTATATTTTTTGTGTATTTATTATTAGCGCCTAAACCCTAGATTTCTTAAGTGATAATTATCACGAAAACCAAAAATCTTTTATTAGATTTTAATTAAAAAACAAAACAAATCAAATAATAACAAATAAACATTTGATTTTTCTATTGATTATTATATATTTTTAAATAATTATTTTATAAATAATTTTTATTTTACACTTAAAGTCGCAAAACACTTAAGGGCTAAAACTAAGTAACAATAAAAAAAGTAAAACTTTTTTTTAAAGAAAAAATAATCTGTTTTTATTTGGTATTTTTGTTTGATTATATCAACTAAATGTGTTATTAATAAGCAGTCAATCAATCATTTGGAGAAAAAATATGCTTAAATTTCAATATAATATTCATAAATCCAATATTTATGTAATTTGGGTTTTAGGGGTAAAGAAACCCGAAATATGAGTTTTATAAATATATGTATATTTATATATATAATCTTTTTATTATTATTATATGTTTCTCTCTTTGAATACCATTTTATTGCTCTTAATTTATTTTTGTGGCACTTCTTTAAAATCTTTATTAAAGACTCTCTTAATCACATAAATTTTGTCTTTAAATACATAAATTTAATTTCTCTCTCTCTCTCTTTGTATTTCTCTTTTTAAATATTAATTTCTATATTTAGATGGCTTTCAATGAATCCAGAAATAAAGGCTTATTATTTATGATCTAATTTTATTTCTTTTTTTAAATATAGAATTTAATTTGTAATAACTATTTTAGTAAATGTTAGCACCAGTAATAAATTTGTCGGTTTATATATGATATATTGTATGTACAGTATATCATGTATGTATCACTTACCGGAAGGATCTGTTCCCAGTAATATTGTCGATGACTGTGTGATACTTCCAAAGTAATTGGCTTTTACTGTTCCCTCCTTTGTTTGCCATTGCATTTTGTGTCTGTTGGCCAGTATGGCACCGGTCACTGTCGACCCATTATTACCGCCCCATCCCACTAACATTAGTCCAGTTTTGGGCACCTGGCGCTCTGTCCTGAATGTGAGCACCGTTTTCATGGGATAAATCTATATTACGAAATAATAAAATCAATATTATATACCGGTATAACAGTCTATTGAATATAATATTAAATGTTTCACAGCTCTTGTATTATAGCTATATAGTGAACTACATTATACGCTATTATGTAATACAGTGGTTATAAAAGTTCATCGATTGATACACTAGTTTGAACGAGACCTTGAATTTGATAATCATTAATAACTTAAAACCATTTATATTATACTATATATATATATATATGATACAGTATTATAGATTAAATATAGTATAATAATAATATATATATATATATATATATTTATTACAGTATATAATTATACAATATCTACTGATATATTTTGTTGTCAATCAATGAATTTGTATTTTATATTTTGAGTAGAAATCATTCTTAGATTATCATATTTTTTATATTTATAAAAAAAAGTAGGCAATGACTGTGAGCTAAACTTAATAGCCAGAGTGTCACCTAATTACTAACCATATTTTTAAATAAATTTATCATATTATTAAACATACAAACTTAATATAAAAGATAATAATGTTTATATGATAGTAATATATTATATTTATATAAATATAACACAAGTCATCCACGCATTTCACATCAGTTTGAAAATTTTTTCTAATTTTAACAACAAATTTTAGTTAATAAATTTTATCGATTATTTTTTGGTTGAGATTTTTAATGATTATAAAAATACATCAAAAATAATGTGTGTAACAACTTATTAATGTTTTTTTTCATATTAATATTATTGTGATCTTAATCTAGATTTACATGACTTTTATATTTAAAAAACTAAATAAATTCCTGATTATTTAATATATATTTACACACTATAAGAGATTATTATTATTATTATTATTTACTGTATTATGTAATTATAAATTACTTTAGACTTAAGTAAAAATGAAATATAATCGACACATACCTTAATATTACCGGTTTTCTCATCCCGTTTGCATTTAACGGACTCATATTCATAGTCCGATTCAATGAGATCATCATAATATCGGACATTAGGACTTTGGACAACAATATTGTTATTATTTGGAACCATAATTGACTGATAAATATTAATTAAAAAATTTAAATATTATAACTTATTAATAAAATATTTGCACTTTTATATAAAAAAAATATTGAAAAAATTGCAATGAATACGTGTATATAAAAATCAATGAATGAATTAAAATAGATAAATTGAAATGAGTGTCAAAATTATCGATATTTCAAAATGAAATGACAGTATATTTTTCTGTAAATGTTTGAACAAATAATTATTTAATTTTATCAAACGTCTAACATTTCAATTCAATCGCTGCATAACTCTTACAGTATTTTCTCATCTATTTATATAATTTTTATTAGCGGATGTCGAGGACATATCTCTATAAAAAAAATCATATAAACTACTGTATTATCAAATAACAAAAATCTCAGTTTTACTAAATCTGTAATACATTTATTCAGTGACACACTGTCTCGTATCACTCCTACGGCGCGTGATTAGGATATTTGGATTCTCTGCACATGAGATCTGACGTACTGTTGCACCGGTAGATGTTATTGAAGCGCTTGCACTCTGTCTGCTAACTCATATTAAACACAAAATTGATAAAATTGACAAAAATTTCCAGAATATTCAATCTTAAAATGCAATTACTTTTATTTTATTTTTTAAAAATAATGTTTGTTTTGTCACATAAACTTTGTTACTGTTATTTGCAGTTGTTGTCAAATTTAGGGAAAAAAATATTTATATATAAATAGATAAATGAGTAACTAATAAATATTTTTTGAAATGAAAATTAATTTTTTATTATTATGATATTTCCATGGATAAACATTAATTAGTTAAAATTATATAATTAATGTAATAAATATATGACTAACAAAAATTTCCATTAAAATAATAAATGTTAGTTATAAATATTAACTTTTAATTTATTAACAAATTTAAAATCATGATTTTTATGAATTAAACAATATTTTAAAACACGTTGAGTATTAAAAATATTTTTAAATATTAATCACTTTTATAGTAATATTGAAATAATTAAAGTAAATAATATACACGTAATAAATAACATATCATTACAGAAATTGTGTAAATAAAACCAAAAAAATTAAAAAATAATAATGATTATAATATATGCAATTAAAATAGTTCCTAAAATTTATGTAAAATAATATCCAATATACAATATATAGCTTAATATATGGTTATTTAATTCATATATTAATAACAATGGATTTATACAAAATAAATTCAAATTTACCTGTTTTTATGTAACAAACAATTTGACAATTTTTTGAAATATTGTTTAAAAATGAATATTTAATGATTAGTTTTATGGGTTTTATGAGAATTTTTTATTTTTATTTTGAACTTTTGTATTATTTTTAATGGTTCCCAAAAGTTATGCCACAAATTATAAATTAAAATTAAATGCAAAATATTTATTCAAAATTTCATATATAAAATACATTTATTATTTTGAATACAATGTTTCGGGCGTTTATTACAAGTCAAGCATAATTATAGACAAAAAATGAGGTAAAATCCGCAATAATTTTCAAAATAATAATGTTTTTGAATACTTTTAGGTCTAATCTCTTAATGTATAAAACAATATTTATATAAATATAATTTAAGTTAATTATACTGTAGAGGTTAATCTAAAAATGCATTAATATTTATATCTAAAAAATTGATTATTTTGTGGAAATAATCTACTGTTTTATTCAACAAAATCAATAATAATAATAATAATATTACCTTGTATCGATTATTTAATGACAAATGTGTTATAACTTATATGTAAATATTACATGAATTATACAAATATGAATTAATGAAATGAAAAAATGAATAAAAGAAATGTCATATAAAAAATACCAAATTGAATGTAATATTTGTTAATAAAAGCTTTTTCATACAAATTAAAATAACATTTCATTTTTTGGACACCTATTTGTATGACAAGATATACAGTATAGTCCTAATATGATTGCTAATACAAATACACTGTACTATTGACTAATAAGTATCAAATAAAAAATAATGTAAAAATGTTGACACATATTTTGATGTTATAATGTTTTTTCATAGATTTTTATCTCATTTTATCAAATCTCATAATTTTCAAATTAAGGTTTATATCATATGAGTTGAAACATCAGATTTCGGAAATATATTAAGATATGAAAATTCACACAAATATCTTATCTATAATCAAATTAATTTTTAAAATTGTGTATTTAATATCATTTGATAATATGTTTTTGGATAAAATAGTAATTTTTTGTTATATTAAACTATCTGATGTTTTCAGATAATATGATATACACGAAATAAATGTATTACAATATTATTAATAATAATATTTAGCAAACTATTTATATTTAAAGCTTAAACCTTTTATTCCATTGAATACATAATATAATAATAAAATTTCCTCAAAACATAATAGAAATACAAAACACATATTTATCTATAGATCATAGGGTTAGTGGCATTTGTAAAAATGGTATGAGCTTTGGGTTATGTCAGGGCATCGGAAAAAATTGTTGTATTTTATTGTTTATTTTCAATGGCATTGAAGGTATTGTTTTATATGTTGAATATGTTTTGTTGTTGTTGTAGTGATTATGGGAAATGGTATACAATGTGATGAGTGAATAAATTCACTAAACTTTGAACCCGAACTTTGAAATTTATATACTGTTTAATATATAAAACAAAAATATCTTTATTTATATTTTCAATAAATGACTGAAATTTTTTGTTTCTCAATATATAATATATTGTATATATAAATCTTTTCCAGTCTTTTGACTTTAAAAAATTCAATTACCGGTAATATTAGATGTCTAGCTATTGATAGCTAATTGGCAACTAAATGTTGGCATCAATTTTCAAACCACTATTAAATTAGTTACTTAATATTAGTTCAAAAAATGTGGACTCATCTCAAAACGTGTCCTTTACTTTTGCTGATTAATTCAATTCACATTAATTATGAGATATTTTTATTTTATTTTTAGTAACTATATTTTACTTTCATAAAAATCGAAATATATTATTGAAATACAAGTTTCTTAATTTTTTAAAAGCATTAGTAACTAAATGGCATTTTTTGTTGTATAACTATTTTGCAATTCATGATTACAGTTTGAGTTTTATTTAAGTTAGTAAAATATCTCTCGCAAAAAAAGTTTAGTATTTAATTTTAATGTATGTTTTTACAAATTACAGACATTATACAGAAATAAAAATTACTAAAATAAACAAAAAATAAAATTACAAACAAATTATTTGCAATAAAAACCCCAATCAATATGTTTTTAAAAAGTCAATGAAATAAATCAAATTATAGCAATAATCATTAAAAAATAATTATTGATTAATGTATAAATAATAATTTATATATACAACAAATATTCTTTCAAATTTATATTTATATAGTATTTTCTTAAATGTTATTTTAGCCGACTAAATTATTTGTAATTAAAATTATTTTATCATATTTAAGTTTAGAAAATTTTATACTATAAAAAATTCACAGAAAATGTTTACAATTTTTTAATTTAATTGATAAAATTGTTTATATTTGTTTTACGTATATTTCCGGTAAACATTGGTGATAATCTTAACTTATAATATAAACTATTTAAATGTTATATCATTTTGTGACGATTTATGTTACAAATAAATGATAGCAACTGTTTGTAACCTTAAGCTATAAGTTTAACATCGTTTTGTTGGTAACATTGAAATTACAAATCAAATTTGAGTGACTGATTCACATCACTATACTATCAATATATACATTTCAATGTTAGTGTTGTCTGAAAATTGTTTATAATAATTGCATTTCATTATATAACAGTGCAATAACATATTGATTACATATAATAAGTAGCATTTAAATGTTTTAACCAAAATTTTTAACCAACTTGATTTTAATTTATTATATATCCCGGGTCTCTATCATTAATCAATTTTATATAAAAAATGTTTGATTTGATCGATTAATTAGAGATAGAAATTATCACAAATAGCATGTGGTTTGAGTTTGCATTAGATATCAATCACAGATAAACATATTAAATACTGGGATGTAATTTAATTATTTTAATATATATATTAAATATTATATATATTAAATGACAAAATATCTGTAATGATCTATTAAATGAAAATTTGATTTTCAATAAAATGAGATGTTTATTTAATTTTTTGAAAAATTCGTTGAGTATATGTTTTTGTATCCTAACTCAAAATTTAGACATTAATTTAATTTAATTGCTAATAAATAATTACAAGTCATTGATGTGTTAGGTATTGTATAAATTCTGCATGAATTCTACAAACAAATGAATAGAGAGAAAGTTATTGACAATAATGATAATAATACTGTATTTATATAACAATTTATATCACAAATAGTTTATGATAAAAAAGGTTTTTACTGTATTATAGTAACAAAATTACTTTTTATAAAGCATTTCATAGTTTATGGCATTTTGTCGATCTTTTTTGTTAATTTTAATGTTACGTTTAGATACACATCACACAGATAACCAGTTCCCAGGTGTACGAGTGGCGCCTATATTTATATATAAAAAACTGCAGGTGTCAATCCTAACCAACTTCACTGTTTCTATTGTCTGATATTTGTTTGATATTATATGATATAATATATTATGAAAAAATGACACAAAAGTTAAGTCAGTGGCAATTGAAAGGTCGAGAAACTCGAAGTGAAAAAAACAACACATTGTGTTAAAGAGTTTCACACATTTTGCTGCAAACATACCGATGCCATCACACACTTGGAAGTGACTGACTGTTGGCACAGGGAGTTCAAGTTCATGACTTGACTTTTAATTTAATAAATAAGCCACACATACATTGTTGCTAAAATAATTATTATAATATTTATGTATTTAATAATAATAAGATTGAAATACTAAAGACAAACATCAATAGGTTGAAAGGCTATATCTTTTGAAACGTATAGCAATTCATTTATAGCACTTAATAACAAAAAAATTAATATTTAATACCCTCTCGAGTTTGGCCATTAATTTCTAAGGAAACATATATTAATATTAGCTTATTGTTTGATCAATGATTATACATATATTATATATATTAGCCCATCGACGGGTATTCATGCGATAATATAACAATAATATGTAATTTAATGTAATGTAATGTTATTATCAAAATTAGCTTTTGTTGAGATGTCTTCCTGACTGAACAACTAATTGTGAACAACAACAACAAAAACACAACAATCATAATAAGAGTTTATATATAAATACAAAATAATAATAAAATTATGTACTATATATGTATCTCTCAAATATTTAGTTCATAAATAACCGGGTGATTGATGTGATTTATAAAACTTTATAAAATTATTAGTTTTAAAATGCAATTTTTATTCAATTCATCCCATAATTATTATGATTATTGTTACAGATTATTGGATCTTAATTTTCATGTTATATAACATATAATGTATAATATGATGCAATTATATTTCATACGATACGATACATTACTTCCCGTTTGACTTTCATTTACATTTTCAGTTACATTACAGTACATTGTGTTTCACACTCGTTAAAAAAAAAGTTTTACATAATGTTATGTTATGTTTGTATGTTTTTTAAAACGAGATTTTTTTAATAAAAGAAAAAAGAGTAAATTATTTTAAAATTACATACATAAATAAAATTATATGCAAAAAATTATATACCGGTATAAATGTAAATATCAATTATTGCTATTTTAAACTATCACTATTGTACAGTAAATATAATATTAATTAGTTTCTTGATTAGCAATTAATGTTATTTAAATTTTATTTTTAAATTTAATATATCAATTTAAATATTGAAAATACAATAATTATTATAAATGTTAAAAAACTTTCTTTCAAATACAATATAATAATTATTGTATTCATTCTCTATTTATATGTATTAAGCGATAACTTTGAGAGATAACCTAAAATTATGTTTAATTATATTTTTAATTTCTCACTTATTTAAACAGCCATTGAGTGGAAAACCCTTTTTTTGAATAATATTTTAAAATAAAAGGTAATAATGTATATATAATATATGATAAAACATTAGATTGTTATTATAATCTATTTAAGCACTATATTAATTGCCATTCAAAATATAAGGGATGGCTTACAGATATTTTGTATATTAAAATAGTAACGAAAGTAAAAGAGGCGATGCCTTTACAAAACATATAGGAAAACAACACTTCATTATTAATTAAAAAAGTGAAAATTTATTATTTCTTTGATAATTATTGTTAGCAATTGCCTAAATCATTATTTTATAATAGATAACAACAACAAAATTTAAAAAAAGTTATTTTTAGTTATAAATATCAATTTAATTTATTACTAACGCATACAATAGAAAAAATTATTTACTATCTAATAAACTAATAATATAAAATTTGTGTATTAATAATACTAATAATAGTTTCTCTTTTTTTTAGTGATTTTAAATTCCTAGCATTTTATTATATATTATGTAACTTTCGTTTATTGTTATTTCAATCTATTATATGATATAAAACTTTTTTTGTGTGATATGTAATTAAATTCGGAGTTTTTTTGTGTTCATCATATGGTGTGACAGGTCCTACCAAAAAACAGCATATCTGGCTATACCTGTGCTTTAAAAAGGTGGGTAAGTTATGTTCGTGAGATAGATGAGTAGTAAATCAAAAATGCATTAAAAAATACAAAATTTTATTTTATGATCTATAGTATAGTCACTTATATTTTATGGACCACTTGTCAGTTAAACATAATATGAATGAAAGTTTATTATAATTAAATAATTAATGCCATTAATAATTACACATCGCTTTTACCACTTGAGACATGAGAGGACAGGTAGTTTAATACATGTATGTTATATATGATGTGTTTGAATGGCCAAAGAGATAGTGGTTTGAGATTTGATAAGTGGATGGCAATGAAGAAAGCGATGAACTTTAAAATAAATGCCCAAAAAATGAATTCAAAAATAGATATAAAATATTGTATAATATTTGCCATAAAAACTAATGAGTAAAAAGCAATTTATTTCTAAAATAATAAACAATATAGATCTGACTATATGTTATTAAAAAAATACAAAAATAATTTTTGAAAATTTCAATTAAACTTTTAGAAATAATTAATTTTTAAATTGTGCTAAAAATAGAAGTTATAATAACATATTTTTACTGCAAATTAGTACAATTATATTTCTGATTTGTTGTTTGCAAATAGGTTTTTAATTTATGAAAAATAGTTGCAAATATAATATCTATATTTTAATAATTTTATTAAATACTTAAAAAGTAAAATTTATTATATAACAAAATAAATAAGTAAATGAAAGTACGTTAAACTAAATTATGGGGTCAAAATCGATATTAAAACCATAAAATAATTGACAGTTAAATTAATTCATGTATTTGCAAATAATTTTTATTTATATTTTTCTAATTATCGACGATTTTATACAAAAATTGATTTTATATTTAAAGATAATTTTTATGAGAAGATATTAAAATAAAAATAAAATAACATTTTTATTACATTTTTTTAATTAACTTTCTAAAAGTGGTAACTTTATGCCATATGATAAGCCTTAAAAACTAACATTTCTATAAATCAATTGCAATCGATAATTAATCTGTAAATAAGCAAAAATAAAATTAATCAAAATAATTTTATTTGTATTCACGAAAAAGTTAAATAATAATTTTTCGAATAAATTATAAGAAAAAAATCTAATTAATGATCTAAAAGTGTTTTCAAAAGTAAAATACAAACAAATAAAACACTTTTATATGAAAAAAGAAAAATTATAAACAAAAAAAACACAAATTTGACCGAAAAATGTTTGATTTATATATATATATATTTACGGCTAATAAATCTTATTTTCTGATATATTAAAAGTAAATTAACATTCAATTTGATTTGCTTTTTATGATTAGAGTCGTGAGTGAAAACCATTTTTTCTGTTATTTATAAGTTATAACAATCAATAGAAAACAAAAATAAATTTCTTTAACTTAATATCAAAAATTAATAAAATAAATGATTTTTTCAGGAAAAGAAAAATACTTTTAATAAATGATTTTACATAATAATCTGTTTAATAAATATTTGATAAGTGAATGTAAAAATAAAATTTTTTATAATATATTAAATAACAATATTTTATGATAAACTGAATAAATTAAAATAAATTAATATAATACATTATATACTAAATTTAATTGAAAAAAATTTGTAAAAAATAATATAAAATTTAATTAATTGAGTGAAAGTATTAATTTGAATTAATTTGTGTCATTAATTTGATATAATGAGTGACAAGTCTTTATTAGATAATTGCTGTTTATCGGCAAACAAATCATTTGAGGAAATGTTGGCCACAAAACTAATGGACAATTTATTGATTGATCCAAAGATAATATATATTTCATCGTTCATCTTATTCAATGGTTTATTAAACTGTAGGTAAACTGATTGCATAAATGTATGTCCAATGGCCCACTTTGGCACACGATTTCGTGGACAATCTTCATCATCGGCCTCTTGATCTGATCTTAAATCTGTGATATTGTAATTATTGCTATTATTATTGTGTGAAAATACTTGACCATCATTTGTGTTAATAATAATAGGAAACTCTTTTTCAGATTTAGTTTTTTTATTAATTATTAAATTTGCTGAAATAGTAGCCCACTCTCGATATCTCTGTCGTTGTTGTCTTCTCTGGTCTTCAGCCACGAGTTTTGTAAAACTTTTGACCGCTTCCTTCAATACAAACAATTGTTTTCGTCTCTCCAATTCATTAGCCTTTCTGATAGTCTCTTCCTGTTTCTTAGCCATCAATTCGCGTCTATTTTTTATTAGCGATATCTCTCTTAAAGTCTTTTGTTTCTCCAATAGCCGATCGGTTCGTCGTTTTTCTCTTTCAATTAGTAATCGTCTTTTGGCTGCTTTTTCACGTCTCTCAATATTCTTGGCCTTAGTTTCAGTCACTTTCCTTTCCAACAATTGTGTCCTCAATTCTTCGGCTCTTTTTATCTTCTCCTCCGATGACAATAGTTTCTGTTGAATAAAATTTTTGTATTCTTGTCGTCTCTGAACTTCATTATTAGTAAATAATGTCTTGAGATAAGCACCAAAATTCACTGAATCCACATTTTTCCCCATATTTGAGCTTTTCTTCAAAAGATAATGTCTTTGATTGGTATTTAATAACAAAAATTTATTAATATATTCAATACATATATTAAATAAAAGTTGAATACATTGGTTATTTAGGCATGAATTGTAATGACATTGATTTGAATTCATTAATTCATAGCAAACTGTTTGTAACGTTTACTTCAATCAAATTTATGAAATGATTGACAAAAGTTTTTTTGTTGCCTTTGAATTATAATCGACTAAACATTTCACACATTAATTATAAAAAATTTTAAGTTTTTAATATCAATAATATAGTTTTATAAATATTTTAAAATTCAGTAATACTTTATGATTCATAAAACATACATTGAAATCGGTAATGAATTAACTATTAATTGTATTTTTCCTAATAATATACCGATATATAGTAAACAGTATATTCATAATATTTTTATTGAATTATTTTACAGTAAAATACAATTAATAAAATAATAAACGATATTTAATAAAATAAATACAACAAAACAATAAATAATAAAAAAAATTTAAAAATATTATTGTAAAAGATTTTTATTGTTTTTATTGATAATATGATAATATCCATCAGTGTCTAAAATTACTTGAATTTTAAAAATCCTTAAAATTAATATTATGAAGAATAATAATAATAAGTACAAGAGTTTGTTTAAAAGTGATTTAATATTATAGAAATTTTTCAATTTATTAAAAGTTTTGAAATTGTCATATGATTTAAAAGTATTGATAAGAAAATTATAGGATTAATGTTTAAAATAATTGTCATAAAACTACAAAAATAATTCATGATTAAAGGAAAATTTATTGTAAAATATTAACTATTATTAATCATTTTATAAGATGTTTTAATATTTGTATCATTAAATTTGAAATTTTAATATTAACTTGTAGGCGAATTGATAAATAATTAGTTTATATTTCCTTATTTAAAAAATATTAATAATAATTTAATTTAAACATCATTTAAATGCCATATATTAAAATTTTTTTTAAAAAACATTGATTACATTCATAAACAGAATGTATCATATATTTAATTCATTTAAAATTTGATTTACTCATTTATTTTTGTTAAATGTATTAGTTTTACCAAGAAAAGTTAATATAATATAAAAATTATATATATTCAATAGTTAGAAATGTGTAAATAGAAATTTCTAATAAAGTTAAATAGGAAAATTTCTAAAAAAAATTCAAAAAGAAATTTTTATAATGAATTGTATAAATTCATTATAAAAATTTCTTTTTTTGAAATCTAATAATAATATTTAACTATTATTAATTATCTTGTATCTAAATACAAAATAACAAATATAAATAAAACTAAGTTAATACAGGGATTCCACAGACGGAAAGATCTTATAGAAATTTTCTAGAATTTCCTAATTTTTAGTATTTATTTTTTTTGACAAACTCTACATACAATTGAAAAACATTGTAATTAAAGGGATGAATTGCCCTAAAGGTTAGCTAATTATTTATAAAGCACTTATATATATATATATAATATAATTACAGATTTGTTTTATCCATTTGTTTATAGCTATAAATTTTTGTGTAAATTATAAGAGATTTTAATTAAGAGAAAACCGAGAATTTCAGGACTGAACCAAACATTTTGATTAAATGCTTAAAGGGTTTACACCTGTTTTTCTCTCAATCTATCGGTGTTTTAAGTCATTTTCATAATAATATAAAACATATAAATCATGATATTATTATTGTTTGCGAAAATTAAATCTTCAATATTAAGTAAATTATTGTTTAGCACACGAGGTGTCTGATAAACCCTTAAATTATTTATAAGACATAACCCTTGTATGAAAATATTTGCTTTGTTTTTTAAATTAGGCATAAAATCAATGGAATTTCTAATAAAAAACTAAAGTAAAAGTGACCCCTCAAGGGGTCAATGGTTTGGGAGGTCGGGTATCATCTCAAGGTGACTTCATTAAAGTTATGTAATTATTATTTGCTAAAATTTATTACTGGAAAAAATATTAACCAAAATTATAAGCTTAATAGCCATCAAACTATAATAGTTATAATATTGTTTAAATATTATACAGTATTGATATAAAATTTGAAAGTAATTCCCCTAAAATATAAATATATGGTTACTTAAAGCTATAAAAACGTCGTGACTATCACATAATTATTGTATTAAATTATTTAAAATATTTGTGAAATATTTACAATGTATGTAATACTGGGGTACTATCTATACATTTTATATACAGTATTTAAACAAATTATTTAAAATCTTATTGTAATTTTCATATTCACAGTTAATTATAATAATTATATATATATTTTTAATTTATTATTTTGTAATTTTTCTCAATATTTAAAGGATTTGTAAACTTATAAATTATAATAAAACTATTATTAAAATGTTTGTATAATTTTTTTAGATAAGTGTAAAATAAGTAAACACTTGTAATATATACATTTTTCTAATAATTTTAATAATATGCAAATTATATTTGTATTTATACTATTAATATACATATTGGCAATGGGCTGCTCACATATTACGTTCGCACTTTTTAAGAAATCTAGATCCCCTCCCTCCCCTATGTTTGCTTTTGCCGACCCCTCCCCTCAATATGTGAATCACCCCCAATCTTTAATTCTACATATTTTCTTTGACGTATATTTGTATTAATTAATAATAATTAAAGTGTCAATTTTTATCGCATTAGAATATATCAAATAACTAAATAAAAAACTTATAGTATATTAGAATTTTATATTAAAAACTTATTATATTTTTTATATTATAATACTGTATATACAATGCTAAATATATACTGTATATTTATAATATAATAAAATTAATAAGTTCAAAAATAAAATAAACAATTGTTTTAAAAAATAATTATAAGCTATTAATTCGGTATACATTACAAGTTTTAACTTTTAAACTTGAATATTAATTAACTTAGTTTTTTTATTTTTAACATTTAATTTATTATTAAATATATAAAAATAGAAAACATTATAAAGATAATATTAAAAGTTTTGTAAATTATATAAAATGTCTTATATTTAATAAATGATTTGTTTGAGATTCATTTGTATAGTGAAACTAATAAATTGCTAAAAAATCATTTTACAAATAATAGTTGGTATTAGTTAGTGAAACAGTATGGATCTAATCAATAATGGGTAAATGTGATCAAATAGATGCTGACAATTGATACAATAAGTGATATAAAAACGGTGGTTAAAGTGATGCCTACACTTGTGGATCCATTACACGAGTCTTCAGCACAATAGCATTCTTCCCAATAGACGCCGTTGTCTTTGTATCCCCAATCACAACCCCATGAGATACCTAAATATCAATTGTTTTAATAATAAAAAACATTAGTTTTCAGTTATATAAACTAAAATAGACGTTCAAATGCTGTATAAAATGTATACCTCTTTCGCTGACCTGAGCGCACCTTCTGATAACAGTCCTCCACCTGCCGTCCCAAATGAAACCTCGAGGTCCCTGTTGTATGGATTTGAAACAAAATGTACCTGTATATTTATATAAAAGTTATTATTATTAATATAATTTATATTTTTTTAAATGTTATAAATAGCTTCTTAATTACCAAATTCTTAATGAAAAATATATATATAAAATAGATATAATAACTGATAAAAATCTACATTAATTTGATATAATAAATGCATAGTATTTACATAAATAACTTCATAATAAAAATAACAAAGTTAATAAATTTAAAATTGTAATAACTTTAGATATATTAATATTATAATATAATATTTTTGTTGATTAGTTATTATTTTATTTGAATAATCCGTATAATAACAATATAACAAATAATTAATTTGTTTTCTGGACAACAAGTCCTTTGTTAACAAATTTATCAAATATTACTGTTTAATGAATTAGTAAAACTTGATTACCGGGTGTCAGAGCCTCCTCTCCCATACACTCGACCGCAATGTTCTTGTTTTGATCGAAGTGTTGATAAGCACCGCAATTGTCTTCTCCTTCTGGATCTTCATCACTACTACATTGATAACACTTTATCGATTCAACTAATGTTTCAAAAATTAATTATAAATATACTGTATATTTATATTATTATAAGTACATAATTATGTAATAAAATTATACTCTACCTGTTTTAATTAGCGCTAAGATTAGACAAAATGATATAAAATGATGACCAATGCTATCAATTTTCATTATTTTTTTTATTAATAAATATAAAACTTTTTGACACTTCAATTGTATAAATACAGTATTGTTGTAAATTATTAGATAACTTAAATGCACTTATTCTGTGGCAATTGTTTTTATTATACAAAATAATCCATTTCATGAAGTAATATACTAATAATAAATTAGATAATTATTGTATAACAAGTTTATATAAAACAAATATTTTTTATCTCTAAATGTGTTATTTATCCATAAATTTGTGATTCATATACTGTATATAATTTAATGCATCAAAACAAATGTATTTTTACAAAATAATTTTAAAAATGTTGGATAATATCGTTATTGAATGGCAAACAAAACAAGCATTCATTTTCCAAAAAAACAATTTATAATGTAATGTTATGTCAATGCAATGGGCGTTGTCTGGTTGTATCTGCACAGGTATACCTATAGGTGTGCGGCACAGGTATGCATTCGCATAGCAATGGGATACACACATAGAGATACAGGTGTTTAACAAACAAAACAAGTTATGTGTTGTTTTGGTAGACCTTTGATTGTCTTTTGGAGCGCTTTTTTCCGAACTTTTTCTATGATTTGTTTGTTTACTTAACTATAATTAGTTAAAACATAATTATTTATACAAAAGTTTTTTTAGTCGTTTTCAAATTCAGTTCAAAACTGATTGTCCATTTGTCCCGTGCGTTATGAAACACACAGACATACCGTCCCATAAATGCCTTATAATCATCACATTTGTTACAGTTATATATTTATCAACTCCAGGTATTCATATTTTTTGTTATTTACAAATAAATTAAATCTTAATTGTGAACTAATCATAAAAATATTGTTTCTCGACAGTAGTTTATCTTTTATCTAAAAGATAAATAATTATACAGTATATTATAAGTAATACTGTGTGTGTATATATATACAGTATATATCATATATAGTTATTTATTTATATATTGACTAATTTGTTTTTAGGGTAAATTAGTAGTAGTCATACAATTTATAGATATATTTATAAATTTAGTTTATTTAATAAAGTTTACGTCAATTTATAATGTATTATATTCTGAAAAAAATTGACAGACATAAGTCATATGATTTAAAAATAGATGTGCTTTACATTAAAATATCAAATTAAATTAGTAATCATTTTGTTGTGTTATTTTTAAAATGACAAAAAACATTGTTTCGTCAATTAGTACTATAAGATAGGGTTTTATTACTATTAAACATATTTGAGGCCAAAATGTCAGCACATATTTCTTTTCAAATGATTTGTCTTTTAATTGAGGAATAATTAGATATAAGTAATATATAATTTGATGTAATTTTGTTTGATTTGATAATTATTAGTCGTAAGCATCAAGTGTTGGGTTTGTCACTCAGACGCCGATCCCAAATGTGCCGATCCTTTCGACAACTCGACTCTTCCCATCAAAGACTGTCGAGAAGTCAAATACAGTCATTTGACTGTCGGTCAGTCGTGTGATAATTGAAATAAAAAATCAGTTGATAAACATTATATAAATTTATAAATTAATTATTCTATGATTAGATGATGAATATGAAAGATTAACCTATGATTACGAAAAACGACATGGGTTAAAACCAGACAAACCCCGACCATCAAAGCTATTGGAGGCCACAATGTGTCGTAAAATTAGACAAAAAATTCACGGAAACTGGAGGACTATTAGAGGGTGCGCTTTCCTGGGACAACCAGGTGAAGGCACCGGTAATGAACACAATTGCCTCTACAGACAAGGTGTCCTATAATTTATTTAAACAATAATATATATAAATTTTATTTAAAAACATTAAATTTATTTTTAATTTATATCATATTTAAGGTACACATGACATATATCAGGAGTATTGCACCTGTAATAGTAAAGACGGCTGTAATGTCGGTGCACTGGGAAGTCCGATATTTAAATTGATTGTCATAATGACGATCATGACATTGATAATCTCAAAAATGATTTGACGACAATAATTGTTATAATAATTAACACAATTGCTCATTATTTAAATGCACATATAATTATATCACAACTTTGTAATTAAATAGAGATAAACAAAGACATGTCATTCAAATTCATTAATTAATTTTTTCTAATGTAAATCTTTTAATAGATTTTTAATGAGATTTTGTTTTAATTTTTTTATAATGAGATATATTATTAATCAACACATTTTGATAAAAAATATAAAATGAATAAAAACTGATTTATTACCAAAAACACTGTTTTCGAGTCTGACATATAAATCCCTTGACTTAAACTCTTTTTTCGCCAAAAAAAAATAATTTTTTCTCGTTTTGCTGTTAAAAATATATTCAAACATTAATTAAAAAGCTTTTTTAAGACCTTAATTTAATTAATAAACATTTATGACAATAATTATTTGCTAACTTTATATTAACAACAAGTAATCAATTATTATTTCATCAGAATATTTGACTGAATTGCTAAACTATTATAGCTATGGTTATGACTAGGGTTGGAAAAATACAAGGTTTTGAATTTTGATTTTGTATAATACAGTAAAATACAATGTACTGCATGTACAGTATTATACTAATTTAAAAACTAATATATATTATGTTAAAAAATTACTAAAAAATATTTAGTAAAAATTAGTAAAAACATTGCTAGAAAATGCATTATTTTTATTATAATCGTTGTTTTTATGTTATAATAAACAAATAATTTAAAATAAAAAATGAAATTCAATAAAAAATATTAAATCTATATTTATTATATAATATTATTTACTTTGCTTATATCAATGCTTTTAGCACTGTGGCGCTAAAATTTTTTTTGTAAACCTAATTGGTCATACATTTTACATTGTATTATACTGTATAATGCGCTTTGTATTATACAAACATTTTGTCTCTGCCAACACTAGTTATGACTATTGTTATAAATTAATTAAACTATAATTAAAGTAAAAAATGTTTGAATCAGACATTTGATATATTATACTGTATTATAATATTAATATAATGTATATAAGTTAATGGTATTGAGTAAAGTACTGTATTGTATTAAATCTCTTAATTTTAATTTCATTATAATATTTCTATAAAATAGAAATCAGCCATAGATTTGAACTGAAAATTTCCAATTAATAACTTTTTACAATTATACAATTTATTTTTTAAAAATTACTAAATAAATATACTTATGGTTCAAATAAACAAAATTTAAATAATATTTTAAAAAATAGCAATTAGTGTCTGCGCTGATGATGTTGTCGTGTATAGCGCCAGCTGTCGACACAATAGTCTATTATGGGTTCAAATTCTTTAGTCAAATGTACTGTAAATGCTTTCCACACTAAAAGCTCAACAAATATTCAAAAGTTTAACATAAGTTTAGTTATTTTATTTGCTTTCACTGTATGTTTTTCGGAAATTTTTGTAAACTGTTTTTTATTGTAAATATGATTTTAAAAAATTAATTTTCAATTGTGATTATAGTTTATTTTGTTAAGCGCTTAAAGTTAACAAAACAAAAGTTGTCAAAACACGGAACCGATGACAACACGATATTGAAAGCCACTACTACTGTAATAGTCATAAAAAGTGAGTTATATTTTTTATTTTGTATTATATTAAAATGAAACTTATATATATATAATTTTTCCTAATATACTGTATATTATTATAAATGTTATGAAAACAATGTATTAAAAAATAATAATAATTAAACAAATAAGTTATGAATTAGTTTGATATTTAGCTTTAGTAATAACGTTTGTATAGCATATTTGTCATACCAGTGCTTCATATAATTTAATAGAAAGAGTCCTTGAGTTGGACTCTTATTTTTGGCACTTTTGGCCGCACTTCTCGCTTAAGTTTCTCGCAGAAAATCGATGCATAGTTTTTTGATACTCTGGAAAACATTCAAAACTTGACTCTAAAAATCAGATTTAAATTTACTTTAATTATATACAGTATGTATACATCATATACTTTATGTATATAATAGTCTGTGAATCTTATAATAGAATATTCTTTGCTTTTACTTTAATCTAAGCCTCGATTGGATCCGACTTTCAAAATGTTTTTTATGCGCTTTCACTGAAATGTATGTCAATATTATATGAATTAAAAATAGATCACAAATTCTTTTGAAACCTTAGTTTATAGACTATCGCTATATTTAGTCTATAAGTCTGAAGATTATAATTACGTTTTTGAATGTAATTTGAAAAATAAATATTTTTATAATAATGTTTGAATATATGATGGATTAATGATGCATAGCTAAATCTAAACTATTTATGATAATTATTATTACATTAAATTCAAGCCATTATTTAATGTAGGCATATAACAGATACAGTATATAAATAAATGACATTATAGTTATACTATTTTTGTTTATATATAATATTTCACTAATATTTAGTTTAATTTTCTGAATTGTATATACTATTAATTAATAGAACAAAATAAAAATTAATTGACTGTCAAAATGCTCTAAATTTTATATTTTATTAAATTCAGTGAATTTTACTGTATATTTATTATATTTTAAAAATTTTCATAATAAATAAACTAATTATTCAATTGTAAAAAACCAATTTTGTTGTTTTGTGAAGTGGTAGCTATTTTTTATGGCTCCCAATTTGGAAGTTAGTATTGTTATAATTAAAGCATTAAATTAAAGTTATAGAATTTAATCAATTGAATTGAAAAATATATTAATATTAATTACTGTATATTGAAAAATTATATCTTGTAAATAGATTTTCTTTTATTTCAAACTATAATACAAATTTAAACTATTAACTTATTTTAGTTAAATGGTTATAAAAAATATATTTTAAATAAATTTTAAAAATTAATTATATTAAAAATATAACAAACAAAAATATTTATACTAAATTCATAAATTTGTTATTAATAATTATAAACAATAAATATATTATTTTATTTAAGCATTTTTATATATTTAAATTAAATTGATTTTTGAAAATGTACAGTTTTTCAGGTAATTATACAAATGTATTTTACAAAATTTTAAAAATTATATTCATTATTTGAACATAAAACTAATGAAATTTGATAATTTTTATATTTATATATTTAATTTAATAATTAATTTAATTAAATATACGATTGCTAAAAATTGCAAAAGAACTTTTGATGTATTTTTTTTATTACTTTAAGCCATTTTTACATCAACTTAAATTAGATGCTTTAGTAATATATTTTTAAAAAATTTAAAATACGACTGAAATTTTTAAAGCAATAATCATATACTGAAAAGCAAGTGAAACACCCATTTGTAAGATATAGTAAATAAACTGATGTCAAGTGAGAGCAATATATCTTTGAATGACTGGTTTAGAGGAAAGCTTTATGAGATGATTGTTGTTTTCATCCCTTCTGTTCAATGATAGAGTATATAAATAGAGAATCTCTATATAGAGTCTCTCTCTCTCTCTCTCTCTCTCTCTCTCTCTCTCTTTCTATCTATCTATCTATCTATCTTTTTCTCTATCTTTCTCTTTCTATGACTCTATGATATGATGCCATACCTAATGTGTAAATACTTAAATATATTTAAGTATTTTTAGTATCATAATATGTAATACTATACAGTATTTACTAAAGTGAGTAATAATATCTATTAAAAAATATGTTTTTTTATTATCAATTTTTTTTGATTTAATTTTTTTAAATATCGAGAATTTTTCATAAGTCAAATATTTTGTGTTAAAATCAATTAGTAATTTCATTCATACAATTGTTATCTTAATAATCTCTCTTTAATTACAAGATATTAACAAATTTATCACAAATTAGTAAATCTTTGTGTTTATAATTATGAAAGCAAGTAATATGGAAAACATTGTGATAATTATCTTAAACTTTTTGTATTTTACTATATCTAAAAGTAATTTTAATATCACAAGTAATTTTATCTTTATGTTTAATATATAGATAAAGTGTTAATTTTTTAATTATTTTTTTACTTTTTACTTAAACAAGAATTATGTTAAACTATTTTAATTTAAAGTTTTGTTTTAAACAGTGAATGTATAATAAACAGTGCAATTTGTGGGATCTTATTTGGAGACTAATAAAAGTAAATATAATAATTAATGACATATTTTATTACTTTTAATCATTAGTTGATTATTAATTTATTTGACATCACATCAGTTGATTAGTATTTAAGTGCCGATCGGTTGCAGATATGGAGTCAGCACACACTAAGTCATGGCGGACTAGTCATCGGGAAGTGGTTGACTTGCAGTATATGCAGTCCGAAACCAAATCAGATATGTCTATCGATCAGGTCATCAACTATCAAGAAAAGTATAGCTCAAGCGGTAAGTCTCAATAGTTTATTAGTTTATCAATGATTTAATATATATATTATCCCACGAAAGGTACGAGTAGTCCAAAGTTTGACTCCCGACCTACGAGTCCGGGCGGCTCTTTTCTGCCCCACCCGCCTATGTTTAAAGTCAAGCTCAAGGATACCGAACTATTGATCGGAACGACTATCAGATTTGAGTTAGTCGTGCGGGGAATGCCTGTCCCTACGGTTACTTTGTAAGTATAAAACCAATATCTTTATAAAATAGAAAATCCAATTTACATAGATTAGTAATTAACTAGAAAAATTATCTAGGTAAATAATATGAAATCATTTATATATATTTATAGTCAATAATCATTGACATATTAAATATTTTTAAAAATAACTAAATTTCTTTATAAATTTTTTTATTTCTAATAATAATATTATTGTAAAGTCGATTACATTTAATATTCCGATACAATTTGACTAAAATGATAAACAAATTATACTTAGTTTTTATATATATATAAAACATTACCTAAAATTAACAATAAAAATAAGTGAAATTCATTAATGATTTCAAATCAATGACAAAGTAAAGCAACTTTTGTGTCAGTTAATGTCAAAACAACTTTATTAAAATATAAATATAGTTTAATTAAACAACAGAAAATAAATTGAATTATTAGATCTTATAAATTATAATTATACACAATTAAATAAATGATTAATTAGTGCAATAATAAATAAAAATAAATAAAGAAATTAATTGCTTTTACTAGAAATATATAATTAAAATGTTTTAATTTTTAGTAATTATAGATCAGTTAGTTATAAAAGTCAATTTGTTGTACAGTTGTTGTAATAGTTGTAAAAATTGATGATCAGTTGATACTTGAAATGTCATATATTTTGACTGTCAATCCTAAATATATTTGAATTGAATCAATCAGTTATAAAGACGATGAAGTGCTCAAAGAAGACAAACGTATGAAAGTGTTGTTTGAATCTAAAGAAGTATTTGAATTAGTGATCGAACACATCACTGAAGCCGACGCCGGAGTCTATAAATGTGTGGCCATTAATAGCGAAGGAAAAGATGAGACTTCCGGCACTATTACTGTCTCCCGTAAGTGCAACTCAAGTACTGTTATGTCAATAAATTTTATTTAAAAATTATATCTAAATTTTGAAATAAAGAGGACAAAGATGTCTTTCCCGGCATTGAAGACGACGACTATTCAAAATCGGATTCAATGAGTCCTAGGTCTCGGTCACCGGTGTTCAAGTGGTTCAAAGACGGCAAAGAGTTTGAGGCGAGCGAACGCTTTCAGGTCCAGTTCGACGAAGAAGAGGATACCGTAACCCTTGTCTTCCAACACGTGAAACCCGACGACGCAAGTATGTATACCTGCGCCGCATCGACCAGTAGTGGCAAGATATCATGCAGTGCTGAATTGACTGTTCAGGGCAGAGATCCCATTCCCCCTACCATTAAGCTTGCCATGAGTGATGTCGAGGTCAGTGAAGGCGCCAGTGCTATGTTAGAGGCAAAGGTGATGGCGTATCCCCGGCCAACCATAAGATGGTTTAAAGGCAGTCAATTGATTGAGAGCTCAGAAAGATATAAATATCTTTATGAAGACGAAGAAAGTTATACACTTGTTGTCAAAAATACCCGAAAAGATGACGAAGGAGTCTATCGTCTTGAGGCTGTCAATGAAATGGGTCGGACAGATACCAGTGCTAAACTTATTGTAAATGTGTCGCCAAAGTTTAAAAAACAAATGAAAGAACAGTCAGTTATGACTGACGAGTGTCTTAACATTGAAGTAGAAGTGGAGGCAAATCCAATGCCTGATATCAAGTGGTTTAAAGACGGACAACAAATTAGAGAAACAAAAAATATTAAAATATTAAACGAAAAATTAAATGTTTATAATTTAGTGATCGAAAGAGTGAGAATTGAAGACTCTGGCAGTTACTCATGTGTTGCCAGCAATGAATTGGGACAACAAACCACTTATAATGTCGTTACAGTTAATGGTAATATATCTTATATACAAAAATTTTATAATTAAATTATTATTTAAATTGTTTGCCGATAATTCATTTATAAAGCTCCGCCCGTTTTTAAAACAAAACTACAAAATATGGAAGTATTAGAAGGACAGAGAGCAGAACTAACGGTTCATATTAATGGTAATCCTAAGCCTAACATAAAGTTTACTAAAGATGAAAAAGAGTTCAAAAAACAGGACTTAAATGTTGAGATAATTGACGATCAAAACGGTTGTTACAAATTAGTTATCAATGAAAGCAATTTAAATGATTCGGGAAAATACAAATGTATTGCAACTAATGATTGGGGAGAAGAGTCATCTGAGGCACAGATTACCATCAAAAAGAAGACATCGAAACCTAATTTTATCAAAAAGTTAAGAGACTGTGAGGCAAAAGAAGGTGATCAACACATGGAATTCAATGTGAAAGTGGATGGTATGCCTAAACCAGAAATTAAATGGTATCGCGAAGGACTTGAGATCAAAGAAAGAGACGGATATAAGTATGTGATCGATGAGACCAACCAAAGCTATTCATTGATTATTATTAAAGTGGACTCAGAAAGTGCCGGTACTTACAAATGTGAGGCATCTAATAGTGAGGGATCGGCACAAACCAGTGGTCTCTTAACAGTCAACACTCCGCCACAGTTTATTAAAAAACTTGACAACATATCTGTCGATGAAACTCAAGACTGCAAACTTGAGGTCAAAGTAATTGGTTGTCCCACGCCTTCAGTCAATTGGTTCAAAGGCGAGACACGCATTGAAACTCGAGACAAACGACTCAAATATGAAGAGATATCTAATGAGTACACATTATCTTTGAAAGGTGTAACCAAAGAGGATGAGTCCGAGTATAAAATTATTGCCGAAAATGTTTTCGGCAAATGCGAAACCAAAGCAAAAGTGACTGTCGTCTCTAAGACCACTAAACCGATGTTCACTAAAAAATTAATTGATAAGGAAGTGATGGAAAATGAGACTAATATTGAGTTTTATGTGAAAACTAATTCACAATCAATTAAACCAACTATTGATTGGTATATTGATGGACAAGAAATCAAAAAGAAAGATATAAGATATGAGATCATCGACGATGAAGACAATGATTCTTATAGATTACGGATTAAATCGGCAAACGACGACTCAGTTGGTCGTTATAAATGTGTGGCCAGCAATTCATTGGGAAGTGATGATACCAGTGCTGAGTTCACTATTGTTAAGAAACCAAAATTTGTGAAAAACTTGGACGACACCGATGTTTTAGCCAATGAAACGATTGTTCTTGAAGTGATTGTCTCCGGTTGTCCTGCGCCTGAAGTCATGTGGTTTAAGGACGAGAAAAAAGTAAACACAACGGATCGCATTAAACTTGAATCACACGAAGAAGTCTATCAATTGAAGATAAACAATGCCAGTCTTGACGACACCGGTGTCTACAAATGCCGCGCAAAGAATAAATCAGCCGAAACAGAGTCCAAGTCAGCCAAAGTTAATGTTACCGAACCCGACACATCAGAACCGCCAGTATTTGTCAAACATATTGCAGACTCAGAAGTTGTTATCGGGGATGCCGTCAGATTTGAGGCCAAAATTGATGGCAAACCGACTCCTGAAGTACTTTGGACTAAGAATGGCGTCGAACTTAAACCAAATAATAATATTAAAATTAGACAAACGGAAGATAAAACATACGAATTAATAATTAAAGATTTGGCTGTTGAAGACACGGGAGATATTGTATGCAAAGCGCAAAATACTAAAGGAGTGGCCACTGATAGGGCCCGACTTAAAGTACAAGGTTTGTAGACTTTAATTAAATTATTTAAAAAAATCATTTTTACATATTTTTGATAATAGAAACCAAAAAAATCATTAAATTTTTTCCTTAAAATATAGCAGCGATTCCTCTGAACTTTGAGTGGCATTGCTTTCAATATATAGTTTGCTTATTGTTTGCTTTAAATATAAATACTTTAATTTGAAAATTTATCATTTATTATGATTTATTATATATTTTATTGTATATATCGACAGAACCCGAATCGCCAACAATAGTCAGTTTTGCCGATCTCGCCGTTGTTGAGGAAAGTCCGGCCAAATTGGAGGCCAAGATTACGGGAATACCTAAGCCTATAGTGAGTTGGTATAAGGATAGCAAACCGGTTGACGAAGCGCTGGCTTTTAGTGAACCCGAAAACAATTTATATTGGCTTCAGTTTAACTCTGTTACCGACGAGTTGTGTGGAAAGTATGTGTGCAACGCATCCAACATCGCTGGAGAGGCTCAGACATCGGCCGAACTGTCTGTTAGCGGTTCGCGACCAAAATTTTTGCGTGAATTGGAAGACACCATAACTATGAGTCTTGAGAAAGAAAAAGGAAAATTAGTTTTGGGACAAAATGCTGTCTTTGAAGCAGAGATTGTGGGAAATCCGATCCCCAAAGTCTCGTGGATTAAAGATGGTGTTGCTATGGTTCCAAATGACAGGATTACCATCAATAGTGTCGACAATCTGTACACATGTGAGATCAAGAGTGTGGCGCGCAATGATGTGGCACAGTATGTGTGCAAAGCTGTCAATCCTCACGGAGAGGTCAAAAGTGTGTGTCTCTTAAAATTTCAGGACACACCGCACGCACCGATAGTTAAGAAAGAATTACCAAAAACTGTTGCCGTCGAAGAAGGAACACAACTATGTCTTCTGGCACAACTTGATGGCGAACCCATACCATCGACACAATGGTTCAAAAATGGCAAACCAATTGCACAGTTGGATGACATCAAAATCACTGATCGATCAGATGGTACAACATCTTTGATTGTCGAAAAAGTCACGCCTGAGTACGCCGGAGAATATTCTGTTAAAGCAAAGAATCTTAAGGGGGAAATCACAACATCTACGGTAGTATCAGTAGAACCACCAAAAAGAAAGCCATCGTTTGATAAAGAATTACCAAAACAAATAGATTTGGAAGAAAAACAACCGTTAACTCTATCGGTCAAAGTTGACGGTCATCCCACACCTGAAGTCAAGTGGACTAAAGATGGCAGTCCTTTAAGGACATCAAATAATGTTATTATTGAACAAAAACCCGACGGAACACAAACATTGAAGATAATTGAGGCCAAACCAGAAGATACCGGATCTTATAGCTTAAGGGCTACTAATATCAGCGGACAAATCAGTTGTTCGACGGCTGTTAAAGTGAGTCCACAACAAATAGCTCCGGTATTACAGAAAAAATTGTCCAAAAAGAAGAGCATTGAAGCCGGAGAACCAATTGAATTGGTGGCCAAACTTAGTGGAGAACCGATTCCTGACGTCAAATGGCTTAAGAATGGAGTTGAAGTCAAAGAGTCGGATGGATTTAAAATTGATACCAAACCCGATGGAACCGTTTCTCTTAAGAAACAGATATCAGAAACAAAAGACAGTGGAAATTACGAATTGGTTGCCAGCAATTCATTGGGCAAAATATCTTCTGCCACTGCAGTCGATGTAAAGCCTGTCCAAAACGAACAGGTATTCATTGATAAACTTCCTGAGAAAGTCAATGCTGTCGAAGGACAGCCACTGTTATTATCGGCTAAATTACAGGGAAGTCATAAAGTCGAGTGGACTAAGGATGGAAAACCATTGAAACCATCAGAGTATCTGAAAGTTGTGACTAAAGATGACGGAACTATTGCTATTAGCATTGAGACGGCAAAACCTCAGCATTCAGGACAGTATGCAGTGATAATAAAGACACCAAAAGGTGATATGATCTCATCGAGTGATGTCAACGTCATCAGTGGTGATTCAAGAGCACCTAAACTTGAATCGCTTTTCCCGAAGATAGTCGATGTTATTGAAGGAAAACCATTAATACTGAAAACAAAAGTCGATGGACAACCATTGAATAAAATTGTTTGGCTTAAAGATGACATTCCCATCAAAGAAACCGATGGCTGTAAAGTAGATGTCCAGACCGACGGAACAATTGTCTTAAACATTGATAAAGCGAAAGCACAGGATTCGGGTAGATATACATTAATAGTAGAGAATGCATTGGGAGAAGTGAGGGCCGGGACTAATGTAGACGTCCAGAAGGGACCGATCATTGCCGAAAAATTGCCCGAAAAAGTTGAAGTGATAATTGGGGAACCATTGAAACTAATTGCTAAAGTTGATGGTCAACCTCTTCCAAAAGTTGAATGGGCTAAGGATGGAGTCGTTGTTAAACAAGGAGACGGAGTCAAACTTGAGACACAAACTAACGGAACAGTAGCTCTTAATATAGATAAGACTAAGACTGAAGATTCAGGTGCTTACGCATTGATAGTCAAATCATCGACTGGTGATATAGTATCGTCAACCAAAGTGGATGTCCAAAAGGGGCCCATAATTTTAGACAAATTGCCCGAATATGTCGATATCATAGTAGGAAAGGCATTGAAATTGGCCACAAAAATAGTGGCCGACTCTAAACCAGAAGTTAAGTGGACTAAAGACGGAGTTCCCATCCAAGAGAGTGAAAATATTAAGTTTGAGACAAAACCTGACGGCACATCTGAGCTTATCATACAAAATGCTCAGCCTTTAGATACTGGAAAATATGCCGTTATTGCCACCACACCAACCGGTTTAGCAGTTTCTGGCAGTGATGTTGACGTACAGTTTGGTCCCATTTTTATGGATCAGTTACCCGAATCACTAAACATCGTTGAGGGAAAACCAGTCAATCTGTTTGCCAGAGTTGAAGGAAATCCTATGCCTGATGTCAATTGGACTAAAGATGGCGTCGATATAAAGCCAAGTGATTCGGTTATTATTAAGTTGAAACCCGACGGCGCCGTATCTCTAGTCATTGAATCTTCAAAATTAGAACACACGGGAAAGTATGCTTTGATAGCCAAAAATCCGGTCGGAAACGCCGTTTCCATAACCGATGTTAGTGTAGAAAAAGGTCCCATAATTAAAGATATATTACCACAATTTGTGAATATATCTGAAGGACAACCACTAATATTAGTGGCCCGATCTGAGGGAACGCCAATTAAAGAGATAAAATGGACTAAAAATGGTGTTCCAATCAAACCAAGCGATGCCGTCAAAGTTGAGACAACACCGTCTGGTAATATGACTTTGACTATAGATAAAGCACAGGTAGCCGATGCCGGTAAATATGAACTTATGGTCAAAACGCCAACACAAGAGCTAAAAACAACAACTGATGTCAATATTGTCAAAAGTGAAGCCAAAAGTCCAGAACTTAAAACTCAATTCTCAGAAACCATTGATGCTATTGAAGGCAAACCTCTGATACTTACTGCTAAAGTGGACGGAGAGCCGACACCAGAAGTAAAGTGGCATAAAGATGGTGTTCCCATTCAGGAGAGCGATAATATAAAAATTGTATCGTCACCCGATGGAACCGTTACACTAAGTGTCAACGATAGCCATACAAGTGATTCTGGAGTCTATAGTGTTGTCGCAGAAAATGCATTCGGAGAGACAAAAGCTGCTACAGATGTGATGGTACAAAAGGGACCGGTATTTACTGAAAAATTGACCAAATCTAAGACTGTAGTGGTCGGTCACCCACTTGTTTTAACGGCTAAAGTTGAAGGACAGCCAACACCTCAAATTCAATGGACTAAAGATGGAGTTCCAATCAAAGCTAAGGAAGGCATTAAAATTGAGACTAAACCCGACGGAACTGTTGAATTAAGTGTAGATAAGGCTAAACAACAGGATAGCGGTGAGTATGTAGTGATCGCCAAAACGTCATCCGGAGATATTTCTTCGTCATCAAAAGTGGACGTACAAAAGGGACCCATCATTGTTGACAAACTTCCCGATTATTTGGATGTCATAGTAGGAAAACCATTGCATTTATCTGCAAAAATAGACGGAGTTCCTCAACCTATCATCAAATGGACTAAAGATGGCAATCGCATTGAACAATCAGAAATCGTGAAAATGGAGTCCAAACCGGACGGAACCGTTAGCTTAGATATCGATTGCGCCCAAAGCGGCGATTTGGGTAAATATGCTGTTATTGTGAAGAATAATGTCGGAGAATCCGTATCCGAGTGCGATGTCGATGTCCAATACGGACCAATTATTATGGATAAACTACCCGATACTTTGAATGTATGTGAAGGAAATCCGTTTGAATTGATTGCAAAAGTCGACGGAAATCCAATGCCTGAAACAATTTGGACTAAGGATGGCTTACCTGTCGAACCAATGGAAGGCATTGTCATTAAATCAAAGCCCGACGGAACTGTCGCTCTATGTATTGATTGCGCGCAAAATGATGACACGGGTCGGTACGGCATTATAGCCAGAAGTCCGAGCGGTGAAGTCGTGTCCAAGAGTAATGTTAATGTAGAAAAAGGTCCGATTGTTAAACAAAAGTTACCACAATTTGTCAATATTAATGAAGAACAACCACTAATATTAAAAGCCAGAATTGAGGGCAAACCTATCGATGAAGTCTTTTGGACAAAGGATGACAATCCTATTAAAGCGTCCGATAGAGTCAAACTAGAGACCAAACCGAACGGTGAGATATGTCTGACCATTGATAACGCAAAAACGTCGGACACCGGAAAGTATGCACTTATTGTTAAAACACCGGATAAAGATCTTAAGACTGTCAGCGACATCAATGTTGTCAAACTTGACGAAAAGAGACCACAGATTGTTTCCAAATTCCCTGATAATGTAGATGTAGTTGAAGGCAAACCATTTGATCTGAAGGCAAACATCGGCGGCCAACCGAAACCAGTTGTTCAATGGCTTAAAGATGGTATTCCTCTCAAAGCAAGTGATCACATAAAGTTTGAGACAAAACCTGATGGATCAGTAGCTCTTCATATTGAAAATTCTAGACCAGAAGATTCCGGTAAATATACTCTAATAGCAGACAATCCGTTGGGCGAAATGAGAGCCTCCACTGATGTGGACGTCCAGAAGGGTCCCGTCATTTCGGAAAAATTACCGGAATGTGTGGATGTAGTGGTTGGCAAACCATTGTTACTTAAAGCCAAAATAGAAGGCGAACCCAAACCAGAAATTGCTTGGACTAAGGATGGAATTCCTGTTAAAGAAGTGGACGGATTGATTATTGAGAACTTTCCCGACGGAACAGTTGAATTAACCATCGAGAAGACTAAACCGGAAAACACGGGTCAATACACACTAATAGCCAAATCACCTACAGGTGAAGTCAACTCAGTCAGCAATGTTGATGTCTTGAAAGGACCAATAGTTTTGGTCAAACTTCCAGAAAATATTGATGTAATTGGAGGAAAGCCACTCAATTTGACTGCCAAAGTGGACGCACAACAGTCGCCATTAGTTAAGTGGACTAAGGATGGCATTCGTGTTGTACCCGATGATCACATTCACATCACTTCCAAACCTGACGGCACCGTTACGTTAGATATAGATTGCGCTCAATTGAGTGATACCGCAAAATATGCTGTTATTGCCAAAACACGTGATGGCGAAGACATGTCGTCCAGCAATGTGTTTGTCACAAAAGGACCAGTTATTGTCCAGGCGTTACCCGAATCTATTACTATTGTTGAAGGAAAACCGCTGAATCTAATAGCAAAATTTGATGGACAGCCAATACCTGAAACCCAATGGTTTAAAGATAATAGAGCCATAAAACCTGGAAATGGTATCGAGATTAAGACCAAATCAGACGGAACCACTTCTCTAAGCATCGTTAGCGCTCAAGAGAAGCATTCGGGCGAATACGCGGTAATCGCAAAATCTCCGTCGGGAGAAACCATGTCATTGTCTAATATTGAGGTTAAAAAAGGACCCGTTTTTACACAGAAGCTGCCTGAAGCTGTACGGGTTGTAACTGGGAAACCAGTTAAATTAGTGGCAAAAATTGACGGACTTCCTCAACAACAGCCAATACCACCAATTATTAATTGGGTTAAAGATGGTTATCCGGTTAGGTTTACCGAGAAAATCAAATTTGACGCCAAACCTAATGGTTTACTATCGCTAAACATTTGCTCTGCTCTGCCAAAGGATTCCGGCAAATATACAGTGATCGCCAAAACACCAGAAGGAGAGATCAAATCTGTTTCATTGATAACTGTTAAAAATCCTCCGATTTTTGTCGACTCATTACCAAAAACATTGGATGTAGTTTCAGGAAAGCCGTTTTTACTGACCGCTAAATTTCAAAGCGATACCATACCTGAAATTGTATGGACTAAAGATGGAATTCCTCTTAAACCAAAAGAAGGAATAACCATTCGAACCAAACCCGACGGTACAGTAAGTCTTGAAATAAGTGACTCTCAAATAGCCGACAGCGGACAATATGCTGTAATGGCTACAAATGATACCGGAGAAGCCAAGAGCTCATGTGATGTATTCGTACAAAAAGGTCTTATAATTGTTGATAATTTGCCGCATTCTGTCACTGTATGCGAAGGAAAACCATTGACTCTAAGTACCAAAATTGATGGCAAACCACTGCCTGAAGTCACGTGGATTAAGGATGGAATGCCTATTAAAGAATCTGAAGGCATTGAGATGAGATCCAAACCGGACGGCACTTACTTATTAACTATTGCTTCGACAAAACCAAGTGATTCGGGAGAGTATGTAATGATTGCCAGAATTCCCAATGAAGAAGTGGTAGCTGTCACTAACGTAAGTGTAGAAAAAGGACCCGTTCTTAGAGAGAGACTTCCCGAAAGAGTTCACGTCATCGAAGGAAAACCATTGATATTAACGGCTAAAATTGAAAGCGAAGGACCGGTTGAAAAAATCATTTGGACTAAAGATGGAGTACCTCTTAAGGCTAACAATGACATGAAGTTTAAGATAAGACCGGACGGCAGTATTTGCTTGAAAATTGAGTCCTCAAAACTATCGGACGCAGGAAAGTATGCCGTTTTTGCAAAATCTGGTAACAAAGGTGTTGGTTCCATGAGTATGGTCACCGTTGAAAAGGCTCCCGAAGAGGCTGAAGGCGAATCACCAGAAGATGTTGATGCAAATGATTTCAAAGAAAAACTTCCCAAATCTTTAACTGTCACAGAGGGAAGTCCATTAAAATTAGTGGCAAAAATTGCGCGAAAAGGTGATCGCTTACCACCGTTCAAGTGGGTTAAGGATGGCGTCGAAGTTGAAGACACCACACGAGTGGTCCGAGAATCGACACCAAACGGAACCGTTTCTCTCAAAATTGAAAACTCATTGCTAACCGACGCCGGAAACTATATACTGACTTTCAAAACACCTGATGGCGACAAAACCACTACAGTTAAGGTTCACGTGAATCGTAAGTTATTCAATGTCTTCATTTGCAGTTTACCACACATTTGTTCAATTAATTTACAGCCAAAACAACTGTAAATAAGCCGGTATTCATCAAAGGCTTGATACGAGTCAACGTTGACGAAGGAAAGTCGTGTAGACTTGAATGTAAAGTTTCGGGAGATATGGATTCAGTCAAATGGTTTAAAGATGGCCAACAAATTACGCCAAACGAACACTTCGGGTTTGTTAAAGAATCGGACGGAACTATTGCTCTGCTTATAGATGTCGTCAAATCGGATGATTCGGCAGAATATTCAGTTGAAGTGACAAACAAGAGTGGAAAGGCTGACACCACCGGTACTCTTAAAGTTATTGCCAAACCAAAGGAAAAACCGACGTTTATTGAAGAATTAAAACCAATAATAGCCAATGAGAGACAATCGTTGATATTAAAAGCTATCTATAAGTCAGATCTTCCGGTGACAATCAAATGGATGAAAGATGGCTTCGATCTAAAGGCAGACAACAGAATCAAAATAAGTGACTCATCCGACGGAACCGTTACTCTAACCATTGAATCGGCAAAACTTGCTGATAGTGGCAAATACTCTGTTTCTGTGGTTAATGATGAGGGAAGAGCTCGAAGTAATGGTACCGTCACTGTTGGCACAGGAGATGTAAACAAACCTATAATATCTGATGGCTTACAGTCCGTCACGTTTATGGCTGGAGAACCCGGAAAGTTGTCAGTCAGAGTCACTGGAGAACCAGTGCCTGACATCAGATTTATTAAAGATGGTCAACAAGTTATACCTAATGACAGAGTGCACATCAAAGGACAACCATTTGGTCGAACAGAACTTGTCTTCGATGAAGTCAGACCTGAAGATGAGGGCAATTATATTGTTGTCGCCGCAAATGAATGCGGAGAAGACAGAAGCAGCGCTCCTGTAGTTGTCAACAGTATGTTTGATATATTTTTATTAATTTATGAAAAAGTTTTTTAATTTATATATCTATAATTGATTTGAAGGACCGCCCAAATTTGATAAACCATTATCCGATACGACTGGCATTGAAGGCTATCCGGTAAAACTGGAAACCAAATTAGATGGCAGACCGGAACCTGACATCAAATGGACTAAAAATGGACAAACATTGAAACCGGACGACACTCATATCAAACTGTTTACTGGAAACGATGGCATTCATACCATATTATTTGATAACTGTTCTGCCAATGATTCTGGTATTTCAACTAATTTTTAAAAACTATTTTTAAAAAATTAATTTTATTTATTTTATAGGAACTTATGGTGCAATTGCTGGCAATGAATTTGGAGAAACCGAAACATCAGCTGTACTTACAGTTAAATCCAAAAGTCAAGACATGGGACCCGAATGTGCGCCCATTTTCATTGGTTCACTTCAAGATGTTGTTGCATACGAAGGACAGACTATTGATTTGTTTGCCGAAATTAATGCAAATCCCATCCCAGATATTAAATGGTATTTCAATGGTCAAGAGATTACTGCTTCAGATCAGATAATTATGTCTTTCGATGGAAAGAGAGCTCAATTAAGAATAACCAGATGTAAAGCACAGCATAAGGGCGTCTATGAGTTAAAAGTGACCAATAGTTTAGGTGAGACCTCATCTAAAGCCAGTGCCAATGTGTTGGGCAAAAGTGCGCCAAAGTTTATCGAAAAGTTTACCGACGCTGAGGTCGGGTTAACGGAGCCGACAAAATTGGTTTGTCGTGTAATTGGATTTCCCGAACCAGATATTGATTGGTATTGCAATGGAAATCTTATTGAACCGGGACTTCATTACAGTATTATCCGTGAAGGAGAAGTTTGTTCATTAGTGGTCATCCGTGCAAATGATAAGATGACCGGTGTTTACGAGTGCAGAGCTAGCAATATGTTGGGTTCAGACAACTGTAAAGCAAACATTAAATTCATGTAATTAATTAATTCATATATTTAAATATATATTTAAACAATATTTTATACATCAATACTTTATTTTTGTTTTGTTTATATAATTTAGAGATACTGAAGCTAAAGGAGAAGCGGCCTCTTTCCTCAAGAAATTAGGTGATTATGAAGTCCGAGAAGGAAAGACAGCCCGATTCACAGCGTGTGTCACGGGATCACCAAAACCGGAGATTAAATGGTAATAATTAATAGATTAATAATATCAGTAAATAATAACAACAAAATTTATTGATACTAAAGGTTTAAGGATGGCACCGAATTTGATCCACTGACCAAAGTTTCAAAATACAGCGTCGAATATCTGAGGAATGGTTTGATCCGATTCGAGATACGTTCGGTGGAGGCGTCGGATTTGGGTGAATACCGGTGCCATGCGATGAACGTTCACGGCTACGACAACTCTATGGCACAGTTGAAGTTCGAGTGTAAGCCCAGTTGTTTGCTGTCTTCACTACTTGAGGCACACCATCTCAAAACATTGACACCACTAATGCCAGAATTACATCCAATCACTTACTATACAATATCAGCCGTTTGTCTCTTACTATCATTAATAGCAATACTGAACGCCTGCTATAAGTCGCCAGAAATTCCGTGCGATAATAATAATCTCAAGAATATTACAGAATTTATATTCACTTGCAATAGTAGCTCATGCCTTACACCTCCCTAAGCAAATGGTCAGTAATAGCAACCATTAACTGTTGCCGCTTATGGCGCTTATTATTAATTTGAATTGATATCCCACTAAATTAATGCACTTATTATTTTAGCCTTTTTCACAATAATTAATAAGCATTTTATTCGTCCAGTATATTACAAAATTATTAAAAACTATACATATATTTTTTGTTTTATTTTTAAAAAAAATTACAATAGCGCTTAGCTATCAAATTTTGATTAGCCTATTTTCACCCGCAAAATAGCTCCCAATTGCTATATTTTTATAAATATTGAGAAGTTATTTAAATAAATGTTTAATATTATAGCAATTATATTGATACTGAATTTTTAAATATAATTGTTATTAGCGCTTATTATTATTTTATTAGATGTGATAATATATTCCATTAAATTTAAGTATAAAATTCTATCTTTCTATATATTAATATATATATATATATATTTATGTAAAAATTATTAATTTTAGCTATAATGTGATATTATATATTCATTTTAAAAAGTTTTATTTTAAATAATTTAAATCTCAATATTTAAAAATAAGTTCAAATTGTCATTTAAATGTTAGACAAAACAAAATAACTGTAAATATTATTATTCATATTGAATATCATTAAAGCTTATTATTTTAACACATGAATTGCCTTTTATTAATTGAGTAGTTTATCCATAGACTTATTAATAATAATAAAAAATGTTTGAATGCAATTAATAATAACAAACAACACATTAGATAACAATTAACATGAAGTACATAATTATATCGACAAACAGTTAAGTAATTTACTTATCAAATGAAATTGAGAGATGATTTCCAATTGTATAGCAATGGATGATAAACATAGGAGACGATCGTCAGCTGACAAACTAAGTGATAAATTTAAGAAACAAGGAGTACCGGTGCCACTACCCGATAGGCCTCGGATTATTAGGATGACCGACAATGATGTGACCCTATCGTGGTTGCCATCGGTTCCAATTCAACCCAGAATTCCCGTCACTTATATAATAGAGTTCTGTAGGATTCCTGACGGAGAGTGGATTGCTTACAGAACAGGTACTATAAATCAACAAATTTTTAGGATAATTGGTGTATAATATGTGTATATTTTGATTTGCTATCCAAAGGAATTCAAGACAATCAGTGCACAGTTGACGGTATGAGTCCCGGAGTTGACTATAGTTTTAGGACACGAGTTGAAAATAAATTCGGAATAAGCGATCCGTCGCCCGCTGTTACCGCCTATAGGAGTAAATTGCGTCCGTCCAGTGCTATCGGCGACAGAAAGCCCAGAGATTTTGATTTGGACCACCCGGCCAAAGATAAAAACGGTATTTATTGATTCATTTTTATTGATAGCAACTTTAATCTAATTTATTGGTGTTTATGTTTAGAAATTGCGCCAATATTTTTGGGTGAAGATCTGGAGTTGACTATTTATGGGATTCGCGGCGAACCCGTTACTCTGGAGTTCTATGTCTACGCACATCCCGATGCAACCATTGTCTGGCAATACGAGGGAAACAATGTATAGTTGTCCTAAATTTTAAATTTGTAATTCAAAGTCAATTAAATTTTGTTTTATCACAGCTTCAGACCGGAATGAGTACTAGATATGAGACATTGCAGGACAGGGCCGGTCAAAACTGCCTGTTCCTGTCCCAAATGACCGAAGCCGATGTGGGCTGGTATACATGTATAGCTACCAATGTTCACGGAAAGGATACGAGAAAAATTAAACTGTTGTTATCCGAGGCACCGGTATTTACCAAAAGATTTGATGAGACAACTGCTCTGTCGCGAAGACACGCCCGCTTTGAGTGTACTGTTGTGGGAATACCTGAGCCAACTGTTCGCTGGTTTAAAGATTGGCAACCAATGCATGAATCCGATCGCATCAAAATTTTATGGGAGTCACCGGACAGATCAACCCTTTTTATTAACGGTGCCATTGTTAAGGATGCCGGTCTCTACTCATGTTTGGCCACTAATATTGCGGGTCACGCCTCGGTCTCTGCTATGCTCTATATTGAAGGTAAATGTATATCACAATTAAAATTAACTAAATCTGATGAATCAATAAATAAATATCAATCAGAATCTGAACTCGAATACGATAAATACACTTTCGGTTACAATAAATTTGTAAAACCAAAAACCAAACCGTTTGAAACTTACTACGATATCGGAGACGAGTTGGGTCGCGGAACTCAGGGAATCACTTATCATTCGGTTGAAAGATCTACCGGAAAGAGTTTCGCCTCCAAAATGATGCACTCGAGGGGTCAGATGAAAGAGCATATGATGTCTGAGTTGGAAGTGTTTAATCAATTGGGATTTCATCCGAAAATTTTGCGACTATGGGATGCTTTTCAGGCCACAACCAATTCATTAACATTAGTCACGGATCTGTGCGGTGGAGGGGAACTCCTAAAATCTATTGTACAAAAAGGATCGTTAACTGAGAATGAAGTCGCGTATTATATCCGACAGATTCTTGAAGGACTGGATTACTTGCACTTTAAAAATATCGCACACTTTGGGCTCAATGTTTGTCTTTTATAATTATTTGTAGATATTTTTGTAATCAATAAAAGTATTATATTGTGAATGTTTTTCTTATAAAAGATTGGCGACATATTATTGGAAAGAGTCAACGGATCCGACATAAAGATTGCTGACTTTGGTTTGGCTCAGAGATTGATTCCCGGACTTAAACACATTGTCGAGTTTGGTCATCCAGAGTTTGTGGCGCCAGAGATACTGGAAAAACAATCTGCCAGTTATGAGGCTGATGTGTGGTCAGGTATACTAACATAAAGATAGTTGTGATTATTTGATCATTGAAATGATTTTCTTGATATTACTTTAGCGGGAATCATAACGTATCTCTTATTGACGGGTATCTCACCATTTTTGGGTGACAATGATAGGGCAACGTTACAGCACTTAAAGTTGGGGAACATTGACTTCTCATTACTTACGGAAGCATCTCCCGAAGCCACTGATTTTATTCAGAAACTGCTCGAACGCGACCAATACAAGAGGTTTAGTGTCAAACAAGCCCTTCAACACCCATGGCTTAGATTAGCGGATAGACCGGGAAATGGCAATCAATTGAAGTGTATCGACAATTTAAGACAATATTACAAAAGATATAGAAATTGGGTTTGTTTTCCAATCAAATATGATATTTATTGTAAAATATATATTTTTAATATTGATTTTCGCCCACATTTAGTATACAAACGCTTCGTGTAAAACCCATTACCGACGGCGAGCATTGCACTCATGTTTCACACATCCGAGTCGTATGATTTATCCGCCCGATGAACAATACACACCACCTCCCAGTCCTGAACGAGAAACTGAACGAACTAAGTTCAAGCCATCACAGTTTGATGAGACATACAAACAAAGAATCTCCAGAGAAGCAGTTGATGCCCAGTCAGAGAGTCAGTACCAGACGGGACCCGATACTTATCTGCTTCAGTTGCGTGACTCAGATTTTGCCACAAGAATCAGACAATATCTTCGAGTGGGAGCCTCCCGGAGCCCCAGTCTTGCTGCCAGTCTTAGGGAATCTCATTGGGGGGACAGAAATGTTAGTAAATATAGTCAATAAAATATAACATAATTCATAATATTAATGATTGTACTCTTTAGGGAAGTGCTTACAAACCTGTTTCTGTACGCGAGAGAAGAAAATTTACAGATATTATGGATGAAGAAATCGGAGAAGAAAAGAAAGGACTCGAGACTCGATCCAAACCAATGCGTTTGGTTAGAGAAATAGGAACTTCTGGTTACGCTTACGGACAGTTACATCATCTGAAGAAAGAGGCCTTTGGAAAGGTTTCGCAAGATTTGGCCACAAAGGGTGCCATCACTAACCTTCCGTTTTTCAGAGAAAAACTCAAAGATATTACAATTAAAGAGAACGAAGACGTTGTGTTCAGTTGTTTGGCTGTTGGAACTCCTACTCCCGTTTATACCTGGTTTAGAAACGACGGTATTCTCATTGAGAGCAGTCGTATTGAAGTTAAACGAACTGAAGACGGTAGGTGTGAGCTGAGAATCAAACCGGCCCGAGCTTATGATATCGGACAATACAAATGTGTGGCCAGAAATGAGGCGGGAGCTGTCGTTTGTAGGGCTAGACTCAAACTTGGCGACAGTCCGGGAGTACCGGATCCACCAGAAATCAAGAGTGGTTCAAATAAAGAGATATATCTGTGTTGGAGTTCACCAAAACAGGATGGAAATAGTCATATATTATGTTATAGATTAGAGTACAAGAAAGTGGATGACCAGAGATGGACAGTCGTTGCCGACAATATAATGCATGAATTTTATATTATGCGAGACTTAGAGCCGGAAACGACTTATTGTTTCAGAATTAGTGCCAAAAATAGGTTCGGATGGAGTGCTGCCAGTCTGACCAGCGAAGAGGCAAAGACTCAATCAAATGAAGGCGCGGAACGACTACTTGTGCCCAGAGCTCGCATCAACAGACAAACAATCACTGAAGACGTGGGAAGGGTTATCGTCGAAGACAGACCAACGACACCTACTATTGATTATAATAAAGAATTAAATCCGATTCCATTGACAGAAGCAGAACATAATAATCTTTATGATTTTATAGCAGAGATATCTCGAGGAAGGTTTTCAGTGATCAACAATACTCGACTCAAAGACATTAACAAAACATTAGTCTCTAAAGCAGTGCTCACACAAAGTGAAACCGAATCGGGAATTAATAACGAATACGAAATTATGAAGACATTGGCCAACGAAAGGATAGCTGAACTGTATTATGCAAGTCGTGGACAAAGTATTTATGCTCTCGTAATGGAAAAGCTGTCCGGCATTGATGTCCTCACTTACCTCTCGCAGCGACAAAAATATAACGAAGAAATTGTTTCCAAAATCATTATTCAAGTTCTCGATGGCATTGAATACTTGCACTTCAGAGGCATTTGCATTCTTGAACTACAACCGGATAATGTAGTTATGATTGATCAGCGAAGGCATGACATCAAACTGGTTGACTTCGCCAATGCCAGACATGTGCCCATTGCTGGCACTCGTGTTTCCATCAATGCTTCGCCTGAATTTGTCGGTTAGTATTTCAGAATTAAGAATAATATAATAACTAATTAAGTAATTTGTTATTATTTCAAAAGCACCGGAACTTATTAAGAACGAAGAGGTGACCAATTCGGCCGACATCTGGTGCGTCGGTGTCTTGACTTATATCCTTTTGAGCGGTTTTTCGCCATTCCGTGGTTCGTCGGACAACGAAACAGCACAGAACGTAGTGTATGTCCGCTATCTCTTCGACCATCTCTACCCTGAGATCACTCAGGAAGCCATTCGTTTTCTTTTAACAGTTTTCAAACTCACACCACAGTTAGTATTAATTAATTAACTAATTAATTAATGATTATAATTATTTTAATTTAATTTCCCTAAACTTTTTTAATCTCAAAGCAAACGCCCGACAATAGAGGAATGCTCTGACCATAAATGGCTTCTTCCCAATGAATTCATGGTTAAGAAGAGAGAAAACGCTATCTTTTCGTCGCATAAATTGACTGAATTTGCCGATCAATTCCACTCACAGAAGTCGAGCTCAACTCCTGCCAGACTGTTAAACCTTTGTAGCGGTTCTCTGGACAGGTATGTCATGTCATACAAAACATCACAATATGGAAACAGAATTGATATTATATTTTATGTCCATTTTTGTTAATCTCATCTATAGGTCGGTCTCATTACAAAACGATACATTTGACGAATTATAACATTAGATTTCATACCAACAAAAAAAAAGACTCAATATTTTGTGATATAACTAAATATTGAAACATTTGGTCAGTGATTGTCTCATATGATTTCTGTGTCAATGATTCTGTCAGTCAAATGAAAGTCAACTTAAAATTCAAATTAATTTATAACTCATTTGTAAAATAATAGTTTTTTTTGTTTTTGTTGATCTACTCTCTAATACTAATGTAAACTAATAATAAAAAATTATTTAGAGAAACAATAAAATATTTTGTTTCAAATAACCCGAATTATTTCATTTACAATTAAGTACAGGTATTGAATACATTGTAATAATTTATTAATAAACATATAATAGCTGTTAATATAAAGTACTATTTAATACATTTTCATTTATCGTATACATTATATATTGATTTCATGTACTGTTCTATGCATTTAAACCTTAGATTTTAAGTAAATTAATTTTTAGACAATAATAGTTTAATTTTAAAATTTAGGAAATTATTAATTTATTTAAAAACCATTTGTCATTATCTTTTTGTGTCGATTATCAGTATAACTAATTGTGTTTGAATTTTCTCCTAATTTTTGATGACTTGACTGTTTTAACACCTTTGCCAACACTCAAGTCGTGGTTGACTAACAATATTGTCGTTAACTCGTGAGTACTGACATTACAATTTGTAATTTACAAAATAAACTATAGTTTAAATAATGTCTATATTATAAATTAATTATAATTTATAAACTGAATAATAATTATTGTGAATAATAAAATTATTTGAATAAAACTTTTCAATACATACTAACAATTTTAGGATATTTTAGTTATAAAAATTTCTGACATTTTATTCAGAAATGTTTTTAATAAAATGACATTTAATTCAATCTGAATCTGAAATTTGGATACAAATTGAATAATTTTTTTTTAAGTTAATATCTTATAATGCATTATAATGTTGTTTTTAATCTTTTTTCTTATGCTTTCAAAGTTTTTAATTATTATTTTATTAAATAAATAAATGAGACACAAATTATGATTTATTTTTTTAATTAAATTTTTTAATTGAAAATGTCATTCAAATGCAATGTTTGTTACAAATGACTCAAAAATATACAACTCTTTTAAAAACAATTCAAACGACTCTTTTTTATATATAAACTCTTATTTCGTGTAAACGTTAGCTTCAATTCAATTCATTTTTTCATTCAAAATATATAAACAATTTAAATATACAGTGATTTGTTTTAACAAATATCAATTCATTAGGAAAATTACAACAATCTGTTTGTTTTTTATAATAAAAATTTATTATTTCATAAATTATTTTTTAAAAAAGTATTATATTAAAAACTTAGACTTTATAGATAATCAATGGCTGTAAAAGTGATTTATTTGATAAAATTTTTGAACTAAAGCTAACAAATTTCGGAAATTTATTGTTAAAATATGTCGGGAATTCTTGAAGTAACAATTATCATAATCAATACAACCTTGGTCAAATTTAATACACATGTATAATCTATATAATATTTTTTTAATTTAACAATAATCGATAATATTTCATTAATTTGATATTTAGTTTTCATCGCTGTTTTTTTTAATAAATATAAATATTAATATATAAAAATTAAAGCTCTGTTAATTTAATTATTGTTAAGATCACATATTTATATAATTAGGGATTTATTTAGGCATTTATTTTTAATTACTGATTTTTGGAGTTTTGTTCAAATTAAAAAAAACAATTAGTTTTTATTTATTTAAATAATTAAATTTACTCAGATTTAATTCCTGACGATTTTAATTGATTTAAAAAATTCGAGATTTGTTTACCGATTTTTGTTAGCTTTAGTAATAATAATAATAATAATAATAACAGTCTTTCTTCATCGTAAAAGTTCTTGAGATCAATAGATTATTTAACAGTTAATAGTTATTATTATAATAATAAGTTTAACCGTAAGAAACAAAACAAAAAAGAAAAACAGTTAATCCTCTGTTGAATATATGCTGTATATATAATATATAACTTTAAATATATACAATTAATTTAAACAAATAATAATATACTGTATATAAACAATCGCTTCAATCATTCATAACAATTATATCATATATTAATGAAAAACCAATTTATTGTTTGTTTGCATTCTTCGAAAGCTTACATTTAAAACTTCTCTGTTTAATGAACGGGTGTTGATTGGAAGCACCGTTACGTTTAGGCTCACAATTGGCAGCACTGGACACGGAATTAGTCGAATGGTATTCCGTTGCGTTCATCTCTTTATCGGTTGGCGAACCCAATGTCAGTGAGGACATGGATGACGAGAGATTCATTGTGGACGACACACTCAGTGTACTCGGATACTCCAGTTCCCGACAATCGCCGTCGTCCACCGGCAGACATGTCTCAACCATAGCCTCCAAACAGTTAACGAAAAGCTCAGCGTTGTCCAGATTGGACTGATAGGACTTAGAGAAAGGACCGGCAAATCGCCACAAACCTCCGAAACCAAATGCTATCAAATCAATAGAAATGTCAGATATGTTTAACCAATCAAAGGTTAAAAAAGCTTATACCAAAAAAAAAAGATGACTTACTTTGAAGATAATGGGGCTGTTGTTGTGCGTCTTCACAGGCGATCATATTTTGTATAATACTTTGAACAGCACTAAGAATCACCTGATCGTGACATAAGGATAATACACTATTTATCTTTGCGTCCAAAAGTGAATGTCTGTCCCAAATAATAGTCAAAATGTTAATATTATTTTCATCGGAAAAACAAACAAACAAAACAAGACTTACATAACAGGAAATACTTTGGGAAAAACTACCGAAGCTTCGGCTAAATATTCATAAAGTATCCGCATTTCGATCTCATCGGTAGTATTGCGGACAAGTGTTGCCTTTTAAAATGATAAACAAAAAACACATGAATTATTGATATTTGATTTGTCGATAACGATAAGCAATTAATTACTTACAAGAATTGTTAAAACAAGGGCTTGAGTGGGAAAATCAGTTAATACTTCGGAATCTAAGAGTACGTTATCTTCATTAGAGACGGAAACTCTGGAATTTCTGTTTTTGTCTTTAAGTCTTCCGTTTTCATCGATATCATCGGCAGCTATTGTACTGTCTTCAGGAGATCCACGGCCTCGACTACTGGAAGCGCTATTATTGTCGCCAACAGCACCAACGCTTCCGGTCGACGCCGAGTTTTCGACTGTTTTGTGTACTTTTGGTGTTGGCATAGATGAACTTCGTTGAGTTCGGAAAAGTGGTCTAAAAGAGTTGGCCGCTTCAATGTCAAGACTTTTCCAATGTTTTGCGGGATCTTTATGTGGTTGAGATAATGACTGGTGAACGTTGTGGTGAAACTGAGAATTTATCGTTTTTGTCATCTTTGCCTGTGATATGACATTCTGGTCGAGTAAATCCCACGACTTCTGTCGTCTATTGGTTGGAGTACTTGGATGTGAGGCAATGGATGAGGTGGTTGAGGGTGACTGTGGATGTAACTGATGCATAGCGTATGATGAAGCGATTATTGTCATTTGAGTCGATTGACTCACACATGAAGACATAGATGTGGACGGCGATGGCAGTGGTGTAGGTGAAGGTGTTTGTTGTGTGGGAGTTGTCGGAGGATTTTTGGGTGATGTCGATGAGCCGGTAGTGTTCGTCGACGTGTTTTGTTGCAGATCTGTGGAAAAGTTTTTAGTCGACGGCGACTCTGAGACTAGTCGTGTGATGCGATGCTTGAGATGACAACGACTTTGTACTTCTTCGGAAACGGAGACCAAAGCACTGAGATATGGCGCCGAATCCACAGTTACTTCAAATTTGTCGCGTTTATGGGGTTTGGCTATAATTCCTAATAACATATTGAGTACTCTCGCTGTTCGTGAAACAGTGGTCGGCGTCGGATGTCTATAGCCTTTAATAAGATGTCCTACAAGAGCGCAGTGAAAGTTTGACTTAAAGCTTAGACCAACTGAATGATCCAATTGTTTGAAATGCCATTCGAGCGGTTCTCTTGTAGACATCATTATGTTTTTTAATGTATTGCTTTCAAATAAGTTCATTGAGTCGAGTGTATGAAGATTTTGCTCCAGAAGTGCTAAACCGGATGCATATAATGCCATTTCATCCAATTGGAGCACAGATATGGCCACCCAGAAGAGCGCCCTATGAATGGGCGATTCGGGTGCTAAAAGAGGTTGCAATCGAGTCAAACCCATAATTATGGCTTCAATGAGTTGCAAGTCTTGGAAAGACTCGAGTGCTTTGACCAGAATTCGCAACAATTGTTTTACTTCTTGATCTACAATTGACTTTGAGATACAGCCGAAGACTATGATAGCTCGTGGCTGAAGAGCTGGATTGTAGCGGAATGCAAACGATTTTGATAATTCAATCCATTGTTGCAGCCAATCACAGTTCGGGATGTTCTTCATGCAGGCTTCCATTATCTCGAGCAATGCATCGGTGATCACTTCCAATGATGCCAATGGCATACGATCCTGAAGTTCACCAATAGATGTATTAAAAGAGCGATCCTGTGGCAGATAATGGTGTCGATCGATACAGAAATGTCTGCCGTGACTACCGGTAATTGTTGATCGAAATGCTGTGACAGCAGCCGACTTGACTTTACTAATACCAAACAAGAGGTAAAACTTTGGCAAAGAGAACTCATCCAAACTTAATCGCAATAATCGTTGTGTTTCGCCACTGAATGATGGCTTAGTACAAGTGCATAGAGAATGTATTATATTGATAACCAGTCCGTGAATGGATGCTCTCAACGAAACTGGACCGGTATGTACCAGCAGTGTTACGATATGGAAAAGATATGGCAAATGATTGGCCACATCCAGACAATTATTGAACGACAACATCAATAGATATCGAGCAAGAATTGCGATGTCGTCCCACATTAGATGCTGTTCCAGTGTTGATGTCGGAGATGTGCAAGTTTTCTCAATTACTCGACAGAGTCTACTAATTACTTTCATGGCAACCAACTGTACGTTAGCCGAGGCTAATGCCACTAAAAAAATTAACAAATAAAATGTCAATCAATATAATCAAATCAATCAATTGATATATGTATACATACCAGCAGTGTCCGCCATAATTTCTGCCTGTGAACTGCCTAAACCTCCAGTGACTGATCGCTTGATAAAACTATCGAGAGTTAAATCAAGTAAATCGGAGACCTGTCCGATATTTCCCCATATCTTTGCCTGAATTGATGGATACATTTCCACTTCTTCTATTGTCAATGTAATCAATTTGTCGAGAATTGTGGCCACTCTTTGTCTTTTAGTGTCATCAGAATGTTTACAGAATCGGGTGAGGTTTGGCAGCCATGGAGTCATGTATTCGAGACACAAGTGCTTCAACTCTATATTAGAGGCTCTGAAGCCTTGTATACATTCTTCAAGAAACTCGAGGGTAAGATGAGACGCGTTTATGGATAGCTTTTCACTTATTTGTTTAATAAAAATTGTGTTATTTGAAGGAATACATAGACCAGCCGTTTCCAGTAGTTGTCCCTCGATTTTGAGATCAAAAGTACCGGTCAGTGCACACAACAAATTATAGGCGGCAGTTCTGAGGTTCGGGTCAGCACTTCCCAGATTGAGAAGCGCCATATTAAGTAGTGTTCCGGGAACGTCTTTGGGTCTGATCTTTGTGTGCACTGTTACCGAATCGGGTTGCGATAGTTCCCAACGGGTACGGATGTGTATAATTGCTTGTACTATAGAGTCACAGTCATTGTGAATGAAAGATAGCGGTCCGCTCTCATTGGAAATGGTAAGTGTAAACTGATTGTCGTCCACCAAACAGACCTCTTCAATCTCAGAGGCATAATAAACGTCATTAAGTAATACTGAATGACTCAATACTTTGGTCTTTTCGGCGGATGTTATTTGTATAGCACTGGGACCCACTTTGATGGCCACCTTTGTGTCCTTGTGAGACAATTTTAGCGCATTGTTAAATACTTTCAAGTCTTCCTCCAGCGATAGTGTGGCTCCGGGCAGTCGTTGCTGATCAACCTCTATATAATCGCCTAATCTTTGCGGTGTATCAATGAAAATGAGTTTACGATTGCCTCTCAACGGAATGAGCAGTCGGTCGTGATATTTGGAGTACTCCCTGACCCATGAGTTACAGTTGTATATATAACAGGCAACTATTTTTTCATAAGCTATTTCTGGTAGAACTACAAACCATTTTTGTAGGAATTCCGTCTAAATTTATTAATAATATTAATATTAATAAACTTTTAGAATATTATTGTAATGTATTTTTTAATGAAAAAAAACTTACTCTAAATCTATTGTCAGCACCGGTATGAGTAAAATCAATGACCACTTCAAACGGTTTGTGACAAAATGGTTTCAATGTAAGAATCACATGATATATAAGTAAATCGCCGTTTGTTTCTCCAATTTTATATCGTCGGCCAATATAATAAAATACAGGATTACCGGCCTTTGAAGTGCCCGCCATATAAAATATATTCAGTGACTTAATAGACTTGAACTCATCTTTTTCATGCATATTATGCTTAGACATGATTTCCTCAAATTTAGTGGATGTCATATCCATTGAATTCCATTGACTATCACTTATAGTCTTATGTTCGGGTGGTCCTAAATATGCCAATAGTGTCGCCATTTTATCAAATGGACGCCTGCCTACTGCCTTGTGATCCCTAGAGCTGGACAGGTAGTCACCAATCTTTTCCTGATGGTTCCATAATAACCGATGCAATGCATGAACATTGGCATCGCTAATGAATGACAAATTATGACTGGCCTGATGGTCAATGGTCTCGCAATCGCTGGTGATTTGAACCACCCAACGACGTCCGGCTTCAAAATTGGATCTCAAGAAGTCATTGAATGGCAACATATGCTGCTCTTTGCTGAACTCGACGTGATTTGCGATGTTCTGCAATATCTTCGACATAAGCATCAATCCTCGTTTGATCTTAGAGATTGGCTGTTTGTCAACGATTCCCATTTCATATGGTGACACAATCGCCGGATTTATGAATCTCAGAAATATAACGGTACCGACAGCACTGATATTGTGCGGAAAGTTAGGAAACCTCTTGTTTAGCACTTGATATAAACAGTGACACATTGATCTCAATTGCGATGGAAATGTTTCGCCCGACATAATTATGGCGTTAAACACCCGTTGTGTCAAAACTAATAGATTTCGTCGATTGGCCTCAACATCCTCTCCCTCTTCCAGTCTTGCGGTGTCCACTTCGTAACTAAGATTACTGGCCGGCAGTTCTATTACTAATGGTTTGATTAATGGTTCCAGAAGTGCTTTTAAATAGGAATTTCCATATATTTTAAAACAAAATGCCATTATCTTTGAGCCCAAACTGTTTCCACGAAATAAAGTAGTCATACAATCGGAAACTTCAACTTCTTTGTAAAACATATTCCATAAAAGTGGTGATAAAAGATGTTTTGCATCGAAAAGTGTCACAAAAACTCGGGCCAATTCATCCATTTGAGGAGTCATCACAACTGTTGCCAACGCCATAGCAATCGGCAACTCTCCCTTCTCGCCAATCATTGTAACCAATTGGACTAATTGTTCGTAACGATCCGCCAAAACAGTTTCGGCTAACATATCAAACTCAGTGCCCTGTTGTAAAATTTTTGTCAACACTTCCATAAAAGCTGCCCGCGTTTGAAGATCTTTATGATATCCCAGGCCTATTGAATGCATTAGACCGGAATCTATATTAGCACTTAAAAGGTTGGACATGGCTTGTATAGTACAGGTGCGCAATTCACTGAGTTTCGAGGCCTGTAATCTAGCGTATCGAGAGCTGACATCATTAGGATTAGCCACAACTGACTCTTCAGTGGGCAGAGCTTCACTGCATTCGTTGAGAAGATTCATAAACAGTGAAAAGTATTTTAAGAAAAGTTGTGACTTAGCCTCCATTAGGTCTCCTCTATCGCTCTCTTCAGGTTGAAGTGGTAAACCAAGAAGTAGTGCGGCCACGGCTTGCATACATGATTGATCCAAATCGCGCAGCAATGGTGTCAAATCAGTGGAACCGGGCGGTTGCATCTGATGCGAGTTACCCATAACCCAATCGGTAAGATATTCAACCAATTTGTTTCTAAATTTCATTTCTTGTCTAAACGATAGGTCATCCCTGCGAGCCATCATTGCTTCAACCAATTGACAAACTTTAGTCTTGATATGAATAAAATGGACATTATTTGAGTCCAAATGGCGAACGTAGCGAACGATGGCTAACATCATGACCTCAATACTGGTTAGACCCAAGTGTTCGTTCGTGTGTTCGATTTTGTTCTCGAAGACGCTCTTCATTATGAAGATAATATGTTCAATAAATTGAGTGCTCGTATCAGTGAGTATGACCTGACCCATTGAGTCGAAAAACTTTTCGACCAATACTTTTATTTGATCGAATAGTATAGGATATAATGTTGGACTAATCTCATGGGCCACCAGTTCCTTGACATGTTTTTGGATCTGAGTACCGAACTTCTCGTTATGACAAACCAATAGTTTGAGTACTTGGCCGACAAATTGTGTGACCGGACAGTATTGTAGTGAATCTTGAGCTGAACTCAACATTGAGCCCTTACGGCTAGCATCGAGTAGTATGGAAACCGGCATATTTGTCTTAGCCGATGGTGATTTTCTCTGGAGACACACACCTCCCAGTGCGCACAAGAAACCGGTCATATTTGCCCATTCATTGATCTGGTCTTCCAATTCATGGTCAGTACTTTGATGAGATGCGCGGCGCTTACTAACAGTTCGATGAAAGCCATCCACCTGTCCCTCAACAATATCCAGTTTGGCTTTTGGATAACTAACTAACAGTTTGGTGGCCGCATCCCAGTTCATAAAGGTGTCCTCCCAGGCTTGAGAGCAGCCTTGTGTGCAGTGCTCAATCTTTCTCAGTAAACCCATAATCCGTTTCTGTAGGGCTGCCCTACCAGTGGTCAAAATATTGCTGGAAAGGGCTAATTCTTGATAGACATGATAATTTGGTAGCAAATATGTGGCCGTCAAGTCGTCCTGACCGCACCTGATGTCAGCTTCTTCGCACAGTAATGCAAAGCAAGACATGGCCACCAAAACTGCATCTATATCTATGGACCACAAATACATAAAGAAGACAACTTCGAGTTTGATGTGCGCCTGTTTGCAGATAGCTATATGAGAGCCTAAATTTGCATATTCTTTATGTCTCTGAAGAAAAGCGTTTCTGTATTTGAGTACTTCCCTCAACCACTTGAGAATCTCTGTGTAATTAACAATTTGATGTTGGATCAGCTTTTGTGAGATTGAAAACAACACTTGTGACGACACGTCCCAAAACGTATTGATAGGTGCTTCCGGATTCCACATCTCTATATTATCCGGTAAATGAAGAACAAGCAGTGCTTCCATTGCTTCCTGTGCCACATCGGGCATAGATGGCTGATGAACTAGAGATACCAAACCATTGATAAGCTCAAGAGTACTACTCTGAATTTCATGGCCAGCCTTTCCCTGATTGTTAAGCATAAGCATTGGATTGGCGTGAATCAGACGAACCATCCATAGAAGTAAATTCTTATAACTTAAACCCTCTTCGGTTGTCTTTTCCTTGAACTTAGTGATGGATACCTTGTCTTTCAATGTGAAACTCTGTATTTAAAAAATTACATATTTATATTATTGTACAAATAAAATAATTAAATTTATAAAAATATGTTATATAATTTTTTAATATATTTATATTTTTAAATATATTTTTCAAATATCTTTATATTTGATATATAAAATGAAAAATTATTTTTTTTAGAGCCAAATGAGTTACAGACCTGACAGAGCTATTGGTTTTTTTGGTAGTGAAAGTGAGAGAATTGAATGCAAGAAAAGATCAAATTTGAGTAATAAATTGTTAATAAATTATATTTTTATAATTATAATAATTAGGATATAGTTATATTTAGATTCAAATAAATGGTGACAATTACCTGAATCATGCGAAGTGGTGTATGAGTGATACATCCCTGAGTTACTTTTGTCAAAGTGTCGGTAAACATAATTCTCAATTCAGGAGCTTTACTATAAACAATGTCAATGAGTGGCCACCAGGCGAGCCGTGGCTGAGTGACAATCCGGTACAGAGAGCAGACCAACACAAAGTGATACATCGATGGCGAGTTAGGGTTAAGACAAACCTATAAATTTCAATAACAACAGTAATACTAATTTCTTAAGATTACCGGTAATTAACTTATAAGCCATACCTTTAGGGCTTCATTATTATGGGGAGTAATTCGAAAAACAGATACAAAACAATCTATCATTAGATCCACGTCTTGATTAATATTAGATTGACTTCTGATAAAAGGCTTTGAGTTAAATAACAACATTTTCAAATCATTGATAACAGACTGAACCAAAGCAAAGACAACATTGTTTGAGTCCAGAATATTGATATAAGTGGACGCTTTGCAAAGCTTAACACAGGTCACGGCTGCCGCTTCCGTCAACTGTTTGCTGGACGAATGCGGGACTAAAGCTTTCTTCACATTATCGATGAATTGTCGCTTTCGGATGTGCTTTGGAGAACAGGGCGCACCAGAGTCGGCGTTGACAATCTCTTCGAGTATTTTTGGACACAAAACCAACAACATTATCTGCAGTGGCCAAACAGTGGCCCGACGTTTATTATTATTTTCAGCAAAATTGTCTAATAAGTCAAAAAGTCTATCACAACAATCGGCCAACTCCTCGTTGGGCTTTCTCTGTAAATCCATAAACTCTTGAGGATATGTGTCCATCCAATTCCAAATGGCTTTCTCCAAACTCGTCATTAGCACCATATGAGCACTTTTGCGAAGACTCTTAAATTTGAGGTTCACTTCACTGAAAAGTTTAATAAGTCGTCCGACGTCTACATTAATGTGTTGTATTAGCTCTATATCTATAAAATCTGGATTCTCTTCGTTATTTGTCGACAATTCTTGTAATCTAAAAAAATTTTTTTTTTATTAATCGGTAAACAAAATACACAATAATTAATGTCAAAACCTGGCAGATATGCGACTAAAGACGGCGTTAAAATTATTTAAACTCAAAGCAAATAACACTTTTGAGGCCAAAATTTTTAACTGAGCTGCCATTGGATTCTCGTTTGGTATATCAATAAACTGTTGATTAGAAATATATGTTAATCTCAAACAAAATGTTACCTTTTTTTCGCCACCAAATATGACAAACCAATACCTGACATAATTCCCGTAACAATGCTTTAACATTCATGGCTTCATCAAAACGGGTCGTCTCTTTGGGCTGAGAGCTGAGACACTTCTCAAGTGTGTCTAAAACAATAAGCTGTGACTCATAAAAGTTACGCTCAAATTCTGGCTGAATCTGACCGTGAGTTTGGGCTCTCTTCGGTGATCACATAAGTTAAACAAATAAATTCATTATTAATATATATTATAAATAAAATCATTTGACACCACTTACCATATCGTTGACTGAATGCAAGATCTTAGTCAAGCCAGAGATGACTAACGAAAACTTGTATTTACTAATATTGATCAGCGATTCCTTGTTTTGTTCGACATTTATACGGGAATGACTTGTTTGAGGACCACTTCGACACGGAAGCTGTCAACAAATATTACCATTCATTATATAAAATAATAATTATTATTTCATTTCATAAAATTAATGTAACAAATATTTTAATTACTATTTTAACTCTTATCAATAGTTTATAACTTTACAGTACTATTATAGGCTAACTTATAATACTATAGTTATAATTTAAAAGTATAATAAAGATTTTAAAAATTGATAAAACATATAATGATTTTTAATTACCTGTTCCTCAAATCGGGTGATCAATGAAGAGACCCATTCAACGGGCTTTTGTGTGGCCATTGGATGTGCCGATCGGGTGATCACTAAGAGTAACGGCTTTTAAGTATTTAATTCAATCATATTATGAGTCATTTGATAAGCAAATAGTGGTTTAGTAGTGATTGCGCTAAACATATAGTAATTTGATATGAGTTTCACTACAATCCATGGATACAATCGATCAATGAATTCTATAGTTAAGCCATTATTTGTTTTATCATATCTGATCCAACCAGTCCTTCAAATGCCAGTCCTATTAATATTATTAATATTAATATTGTTGTTGTGATTATTGTCGGCCAAGGAGTCGGACAACCAGTGAAGCAATGCGTGTGAAGTAACAGATAGTATGTTATGTTATGAAATGGCACTCAAACCGATCGATATCTTTGCGATCAATACCACACTCATGATAGACAATGTGATGACAGTACTGGTAGACAGACAGACAGTCCCACCAATCGATATATTTGATATTACTATAGGATGTATACACAGATATGCTATATATATACACAAACACTATATACTCTATACTACTATATATCGGATTTAAATTAAATCTCTTTTTATATATTTGTTGTCTTTCTTTAAAAAACAAACTAAAACCAAACCATTGGACAGACTGATCACTACCTGTTTCGGTCAAATCACTTAATGTCTGGCAATCGGCGGTCACAGTGTTGGCCGACTTCGTGAAGCAAACTTTGGCCAAACATTTGTATTCATTCATAAATCATAACCAAAACAAAAAAATAAGTATTCAATGAATGAATAGCTTTATAATCGCTAATAGTATTCATTCATAACATTATGTATACTATTGTTAATATAGACGTATCAATGCTTTTACGCTTTCATTCATTAAAACACTAAACAATTCAATTGTTCACACATTACGTACAGAATTTTAGAGGGGATTTATTGAGTGTTACATTAATATTAAATACACAATAATTTAGGGAACTATTCAATTGATATGTTATATATGAAACTAATAAACTTTTTCAATAACAAAGATCTAATCTATAAATTACGTCAAATGTATTAAAACAAACATTACATTGAAATTAAATGAAAGATCTGTCAAAATGTTTGACAATTTGTAGACATTATTGATGTTTTGAATTAATTTTTAGCGCTAAATGTGTTTATTAATAGCATTTGTTGTGTTCAATGAATTTCAGTGTTTTTTTGACAATACATTTGATTAGACAGTAATTAACTGATCATTTGGTGATACTTTACAGACAATCAATGGTCGATACGATGGACACGGATGACGTGGACAAGAAACAGATGACTGATTCGGGTTCAGTACTACCGATTCCGTGGTAAATGACAACTAATTTGTTGTCTTAAATAAAACAGATATTTTTAAAATTAATTATCTCAAGGCTTGAAAAGTATCGTCCGATTGATTTCGAGGACATTATTGGCAACAAAGAGGCCATCAGTCGGTTTGATATTTTCTCGAAGAAGGGCAACATTCCTAATGTCATACTTTCGGGTCCTCCCGGTGTCGGAAAAACAACTGTAAATAAATAGTTTTATCATTTATTGTTGTTTTTTTAATTAATTGATTTATTCGGTGATAATAGACAATCCTATGTCTTGCCAGACATCTATTGGGTTCCAACTATAAAGAAGCGGTTCTTGAGCTAAACGCGTCCAATGAGAGAGGCATTGATGTGGTCCGCAACAAGATTAAGATGTTTGCGCAAACTAAAGTGACATTAGGTTTAGGAAAACATAAAATTGTGATCTTAGATGAAGCGGACAGTATGACTGAAGGCGCACAACAGGCCTTACGCAGGACTATGGAGGTGTACTCGAAGACTACACGATTTGCGTTGGCCTGCAATACGTCCGAAAAAATCATTGAACCGATTCAGTCTCGCTGTGCAGTCATTAGGTTTACAAAACTTAATGATAAACAGATCGCTGAGAAACTCATAGAAATTTCTAAGAAAGAAAATGTTGAGTTCAATAGTGAGGGAATTGAAGCCCTGGTGTTCACAGCACAGGGCGATATGCGTCAGGCCATCAATAATCTACAGTCGACTAGTGATGGCTTTGGTTATATAAGTAGTGATAATGTGTTTAAAGTATGTGATGAACCGCATCCACTGTTCATCAAAGATATGCTGAAGTTCTGTACAGAACAAAACATTGACGAAGCCATGAAAATAATGCATAAATTATATAAATTGGGTTATTCTCCGGAAGATATCATCACAAACGTGTTCCGAGTGACCAAAACATATGATTTGCCAGAATTTCTTAAACTAGAGTTCATCAAAGAGATCGGTTTGACACACATGCGGATCACACAAGGAGTCAACTCATTGTTACAGTTGTCATCTTTAATCGCAAGACTTTGCAAAAAAACTTTAAAATCATAATTCAATAATTTGTTTGTTTGTTTTCATCACATATTTTTTAAATAAAACTTTTAATAGTAATCAACACAAATAAAGTTACGGTAATGTCATTTCAAATAATTTCTTTTAATTTGTGGCAAACTTATTATATTATCATTTGTGACCTTTAATTGCGAAATTTCAGCAAATGTTTTGTTAAACTCCAAACTGTTTGGCGAAGACAACCAATTGTTGTTCGCATTAATCTCTTTAACTATTGGTTTATTATTGTCTTCATTTTGAAGACATTGTAATTGATTTCTTAAGATAGCATTTATTTTGAGAGTTTCTCCCAATGCATGTCTTAAGCGTTTGACATCATTCTCTAGTTTAGTGATGTGCTCTTTAACAACGTTATCGATGGGACCTAATGTTTAAATGTAATTCAATAACAATTTTTTCAAATTATCAAAATTTTTAAATTTCTTGCCTCTAATTAATGGTATTGTATTTTTGTTATCTTTGGCTAATGAATCACTAATTTGTTGTGATATCGGAGATCCTTTCATAATCAACTCAAACTGTAAATCTTGAAAATGTCATATTTTGGCAAAAATTATTTATTTTTTTTTATTAAATCATTTATAAATATACCTCTATTTTGGATTTTCAAGTCTTCAATCTCTTGATGAAGTGATGTAATCATTTGCTGACAGTCCTCTCTAACAAACTTTAAGTTTGCCTCTAATTGTTTAATCCGAAGAAATGGATCCAAATTGTTTTTAAGGATTCTTTCTGAATCTAAATCAATACTTTCAATGCTATCCAATCTTTGTCTCAATATCTTAACCGACGCTTTGGGAACTGTCGGTGTATCACATCTGGCAATTGGCGGAAGTTTTGCGGTATTCCTATTTGACGGCGACTTAAATCTAATACTATTGCTTACTATCGGTCTATCGGTTAGATCAGAGCCGAAAGCAATTCTTGAGCTAAACTGTTGATGAGGTAAATGATGCGATGACGAGGAACTGTATATTTTAAACGGACTCTCCATTTATGATAAGCTTACCGTATATTAATAGTTTAGTATTACTTAATGCTATTTTTCGCTACACACAGACCGGGTCAGTGTTAACCCTTATCTTTATAGATCAGTGATTACATTACCAAAGAGTAGTTTTGAATTATAAATGATATTAAATATATATTTATGTCAAACAAAAATAAATAAATATTCATAAAAATAATTCATTTATTATTATTATTTGCAAAAATATCTCAATTCAATCAATAGTGTTGTCATAGAAATTGTAAGTTTTTAGTTATAAAAGAAAGTGATTTTTCTAAGGTTAGCCTCAATAATGTCATATAAATACAATACTACCTACTAATACATTAACTTTTATTTTTTATAATAATTATTATTATGTAAACGTTTACTTTGAAAAACATCAACAAAATAAGTCCAATAAATTATTTCAACATCCGATTTACATAATATTTAATGAATTTTCAACAAAACCGTAGGTATCGATAATTGCCTAAACTTTTTTTATTTATATAAACAAAATATAGTTTTATTTAAAAAATATTTGTTTTTATATTTACATATTTTACTACAATACCTATAGACCGGCGTTTTTGTTATCTTTGTTTGACATTTCAACTATAAATATATCATAAATTTTAATATTATTATTATTATTGTTTCTATGGATCGATAAGACAATTATATTTATAATTTATATATAAGAAGCGACTTTTCTTTGGTATATTAAAAAATAAATAAAAATAAACTTATTTAATGATAGCAACAATAATTTAAGACCTTTAATGTTTAATTTATTTTTCTTATATAATTTTGATGAAACTTTTTATGAAAATTCTTTGGAAAATCAAAAAACATTCATTTTTACATAATATATATATATATATTTAAATGGATTGAATATTTTTGGAATAAAATTACAGATAAATTATATAATTAATAAAACTTAAGGAGCGGATCAACAAAAAATAATAAAAAGATTATAACAATTAATAGCTTTTTACAAATAGAAAAAGCGATTACAAGTCTGTCTTTTATTTAGGTCTCTAATATTTATTATTAATATTATAAATATATATATAATATAAATTTTTACGTATTCATAATATATACAAAATATTTTAAATATAACTTTTATGGTACATATCATTAGGTCTTAAGAGTTTATGTACAGAAACTCAATCATTTTGTGTATAAGTTGTTCATTAAAATCGATGTCAAATAAGCTGTTCATTCAATTCGCAAATAAACTAATTATTTATGAAGTGATGAGATCTTCTACAATATATGATATATATATATATTAAAATTAATTCAATAGACTTTCATTTTTAATTTATTTAAAACATTTTTTTAAATAATATTATTAATTAATATGTGGATGAAAATCTCAAAGTTAATAATTGAAGACAAAAATAGACATTTTAAAAATAATTAAAGCAATCGACAAACTGTACTGACAAAAAAAATAGTGGATTCGCTTTCAATAAAATATGATGAGTTTTATGGATTATATATAGAAATATATATTGATTTTTAAAATCTAAGCAATAGTTAATAATAAATTACATTTTGTTTAAACTCAACGACATTCCCATACTTTAAGCGAATGGTCTACAGAACCGCTCACAACATAAGGAGAGGTCGGATGAAAGTCTGGTTTAAAAGATTGTAAGAAAATTAGCGAAAAGATTATTAATCAATCAATCAATGGTTTACCTATTGAGGTACAGAAGTGTGAGTGCGCGCACTCCAGAGTTTTGTTCAGCCGTTTATTCAATATATCCCACACTCTAATTGTCTTATCATCGGAACAACTGACTATGTATTTGCCTCCCGGATGCCAACATATACCGCGCACCCAATTATCGTGTCCTATAAGAGTAAACAAACAGACGCCGACACTAACGTCCCAAACCTTTATTGTTTTATCGCGTGAACCGCTGGCCAAAAATGGACCGAAAAGCTTATTATTCCTTTTAGACTAAAAATATAATGTAATTTTTACAGTTAGTTATAAAACATTCAATAATCACAATAAAAACCTTTACATCATCTATGGCTTCATTTAAGGAGTTTGAGGCCGAATCGGGAGCCCATGCAATGCACTCGACTGTGTGGTCGTGATCTTTCAAAGTTGACTTTACGTCTCCGTTGGCCACTATATGCTCATTTGAGCTTAGAGTCCAAACAATTATTGTCTGGAATAAAATAATTTAGTAATTGTCATATAATTAGTTTGTCATTAAAATATGTGTCAATTACATGATCTTTAGAACAGGTGGCCATAAGTGCTCCATCTTTATGGACTCTTACAGACTTAACCCAATCCCTGTGCCCCGAAAATGTCTTAATACAATATCCGGTCATCACTTCCCACATTTTGACGGTCTTATCCCGTGAACATGAAACCAAGTGATCACCGGCCGGTAGGAACGTTACAGATGTCACATTGTGGTCGTGTCCGTGTAATGTCTTAATGTTCTGATAGGTCTGGAAATCCCATAACTTGATGGTCATGTCTGCAGAACACGAGGCAAGTAGTTTGCCGTTTGAATTAAAAGCTAAGTCTTGGACGACATCAGTGTGTCCTTTAAGAGTACGTTCATAATCGCCTGTCTCGTAATCCCATATTTTTAAAGTCGCGTCCTCTGAGGCCGACACAAAACAAACGATAAACGGATGAAATATAACTCTAGTAATCGGCAGTTTGTGGCCTTGAAGATGGAACCGTTCGGGAGGCCGAGGAATCCATTCAGTGGGCGATCGTTTGTCTCTCATCGGTGCGCCTGAGATGTACTCCTTCTCTACTTCTCTTAGTTTTTCCTCTAATTCTGTTATCTTCTTCACTAAACGTATAACTGATGTCCATTTCTTTTCAAGCATTCCTGACTGTGATTTGTCAAAATCGTTGGGCTATTTGAAGACAATTAAGTCATCACACAATCACCATAAAAGTCATATAAAATATCAAATGACAGACCAGTTTGGCCTCGCGTTTGAAGGCATCCAAAGCATCGGAGAAACCGCTTGAATAGAGATAGTCTGCGATCGCATTATTCCTACGGATGTCAAGACAATTATCACCAATTAATTGATAAGTATTTTAACAGTTATGATAACAATGCTTTCAATGCAATATATCATTGATATTAACATATTGTGCTAAATAATAGCATCGATTCAATTAAATGTCAAATTCATTCATCATTTTTAAAAATAACTTTTCGGATCAATTGGTGATCAAAATGAAAGAAAAAAATATGTAACAAATAGTTTTGATTGTTTAAAAAATATGTTTTTTCATAAAACAATTATAAATTTGCTTTGAAAACAAATTTTAAATGCAATGCAATAAAACATATTTAATGACATAATGAGTGAAAAATGAAAGCAATTTACACTTTATTATTATTATTACTATAATAACGACTAAAATCTAAAAATATGTCAAAAATCGATACATTGATTGATAGGTTAATCAATCAATCATTAGATGCAAATGTGCGCTCATTTTGATCACCAAATTAATTGTATTATTACTATCGCTACGAAATATCGATGTCATCGGCGGTCAAAACAATCAATACTTACAGCTCTTCCCGCTGTCGTTGAGTTAAAACCATTTTCATGTTTTCATTCAATAATTATTAGACGAAGACTTAGACGTCAAGAAATAATAATAATAATAACAACAATAAGTTAATTATAATAATAAATCGGCACAAGAAATGACACGAAGAAGAAGAAACAGTAATGCAAACAAAAAATCACATTTGAATTCAATATTGTATTAAATAAGTCAATAGATCTGTCAGTATTGACGACTACTCGTCATCGATGTCTTCAAGAAGGCAGAGAAGATGTTTGGCTGAAGACACTGAAGACACTGATAACACACAAACACAGTAATCAAGTGATCATACAATCAGTCATACAATTGGGTTATTAGTGTTTATTTTGATAACAAATAATAAATACAAATATATATAAACAACAAATAAATTGCAAAAATAGTTTTTAGTCAACAAATGAGTCCATCGAGTGATCGGTTAATAGTTTGGCGTTAAATATGCAGTAAAGGTGTCGACAATTGCCATAACAAACACATATAACATATATTTACTGTAAATTTCACTTCAATGCGATTGTGAGTCCAATACATGAAATCACTGATACATTGCATTCAATAGACAACAACAACACTGTCTATGCGTTTCTCATTCAAGTCAATGCAAAATCATATTATTATTATTATTACAGAGTATTACTAATACTGTATTAGTATTACTATTCATATCATTACTACTAATATTATAATACATACTAACAGTCAGTCCGGCCTTACGTTCGTCGCTCACAACCGAAAATGGTTGCCATGAATGACGTCAGACAACAATTACGTCAACTAATACTGTCATTCAATTGTGTGTATTGTCTATGTGTGGGGGAGTTGACAGTTGTCGACGTTATTGACGACCACAATGACAACGATATGTTGAACACCACGTTTGGCACACTTTCTAAAAGGTGTCACCACTTGTGTCCACACAAATACTTTTTACGGTCGATAACTCCCTTTAATTCCCTTTCCATGCAATGATTCATAACTTATTTGCCAATGTTTTGGGGGACGACATCCCAGTACAGGGCTGTTCGCTAATGTTGTCCATCCCTTACTTCAAACTATAATACATTTGGTTTAGAGATAAAGTTTAGTTAGTTTTATGTTTTGTTAAATAATTTCAAATTTATCACTAAATTAATCTTTGATAATAAAAATGATTTATTTAACTATTTTGTTAGTGAATTGTGAATTGTGGAGGGTGGTTTTTCCAAATTGTATGCACATAATACTGTATCATATATCATACATGTATATGGGTAGCTTTGGTGACCCCCCTTTTTTGGAGACCCCGTATCTGTAAATGCAAACACTTTTTATATACAGATTTTTGTCTCTCTTTTTGAGCTAAAGTTTAATGAAATATAAAAATGTTGTATTGTTTGACATCCAATGTATAAACGTGTGTTTCAATTGACAAAAAATCATTATATAATTGGCTAATAAACACTACAAAACACATACACAAGCATATGCTTCCTTGAATTAATGTATTGTACTGTATATCAAGTATTTACATTAGTTTACAATTATTGTATAATAAAGCTTTTTATTGAAAAATTGTATTTGCAATAAAAGTTTAAGATTTTATAAATGAATTTTCATCCGAAAAATAAATAAAAGCTTAAAATTCATGAAATATTTTTCACTAACTTTTTCCATATATGAGTCACTAATTCAAGCCTTGTATTCACACAATTAATTTCAGGTTTCTCTCTACATAATACTGTATATAATATATACTATATATTATATATACATTTTTTTACTTTCATTTTTTATATTAATTTTATAACTCTATCTCAATGACAGTATTAAATTTTTGTTTTTAATAATACTGTATATAAAAATGTTTGACAAAACTTTTTACTTAACAAAATTAAATCGCATTGACGTTGAAAACCCAATGTTTTATAGCATAACACTGAGGCATAACTATTAATAACAATTTGTATATACATAAAAAATATAAATATGCATATATGTAACATAAAATATTTAACATAAATTTTTATAGTTAAATCAATATGGTTTAGAAAAAAAAACAATTGAAATTATAATAAAAGCTTATTGTTATTATAAGTTATAATTTATAACTATTAAACTTTATAACTGAAAATGAGAGCATTTATTATTGATTACATATTTTTCTTCATAAATAGACAGTAATTTTCAAATAACAGTAAAAATTAATAATAGTAACAAATATTATTATTTCTGGTATTAAAATACTCTTTTTCTATGATAACAAGTGATTAATAATAATAATGGGTTTTACTATACATAAATTAATCGTTAAATAAATGATATTATTTTACAAAAACAACAAAACGTTTTAATGTAATAATATGAAAATACTATTTTTTCATACATACAAATAAATGAATATATATAAAAAAAAGTCGTAAAAATAATTCAAATATTTTATACAATACTATAAATCGTTTAATTTATCCGTAAAAGTCATACATTTATTTGTGTCAAAATTGATCCGACGCTTCGCTGATGAAACTTTTGGTGTCGATGTCAATGGAAGTAATGTCCGATTGTTTGTCATATTAATTACTTCTTGTGGTCCACTTGTTATCGGTTTGAATCGGTTCAATGATTTCAATGATGTTGTCGGCAATTGTTGGCCGACAACTGTTTCGGTCACTGTATTGCAAATCTTTTTACTAACATTTGCATTCACATCAACAGTAGTATCAGTAAAGATAAACTCTTTACGATTACCCTTTTTGACAGAATTAAACAAAAACTTTTGACTATAACTTTCATTTGAGTCTTCATCTCTAAAACTTTTACTCATAATTATATCATTGAAAAGTAATTCTTCGATGTCTTTAAATAAAAGTTGAGCTTTTGTTGTGTCGGCTTCACTGATATCAATCACTTTTCCAGAGGCCGTCTGAAAGCCTACAAATTGTTTGGATTTATCACATTTTTTCGAACTGTTCTCACAAACAAGTTCTTCAAAGTCATCTGTCTGTATACACACATCACTCTTTTCAAGACAATCGGCAACTTTATGACCATTGTTTAAGTCATCATCAGTTTGTTTATTATCATCAATAGCTGTTGAATTTAATCGGTGTCCCGAATTTGTGTTGAGATCATTAAAGAAATGGTCATCTAATGCCATATCAAACGAACTGTCCATTCTATCATCATTTATCTTGTCTTCATTAAGACTCAAATTGTTCATTGAATTAGTTGTGACTTCTTGTGTGTCGACAAAGGGCTGATCAAAGCATTCAATTAGATTTAAATCATTCAAATCAACAGTTGGTTTATTATTATTATTATTCTTAATATCTGTCGACTCAGTAGTTTTCATCACTTTTCTTGAGCTCTGAAATGAGTTCACAGTGTTATCCAAATTAATATTCAAATCACTGAAGTCGATGTCATTGAAAACCATTGAACAACTCTTTCGTTTATTTGTGTCACTAATATTGCCATTGATTGTTGTGTCATCTCTTGATGTTGTCGATGACAGCAATGAAAACGATGAGTGACCAGCTTTTGGTTGTTGACGAGTGAACACCGATTGAAATGATACGTCTGTTTTGTTGTCGCCATCGAATGGGTCGACAGTTAACACTTGTTTTGATGTCTTGAACGATGTATTGTTTGCATTAACATCAATACCAATATCTGAAAAGTCAAAATCGGAGAAGAGATCCGAGAATTGTTTTGAAGTATTTTGTGGCAACACTTCCACTGATGGCTTCGTAGTCGTTGTCAGCTTTTGATCGTTGTTTACCTTTCGGCGCCGTTTTGGTCGCATAAGACCAGTTGGTTTCGACATTTGACGGGTCTTCGGTGGACAACAAACGCCCGAAACAAGAAATAACAGCAAATATTTGAATGAATTCAATGATGACATCAATTGTTAGTAAAATGCAAAACATTGTTATAATTATAAGCAATAATAGAGACAAACATTGTTTGCATTTGAATTGTTTGCTCAAAAAGTGCCGCAAATTTCAGTAATCAAAACAATTGTTGAATCCATTGGTTTACACATTCATCGCATCACTACATACTCACTAACAATCAATAACGTCAATCACTATTTAAATCCCTTATTGATTGTCCCCAACATTGAAAGTAAACAATAATTATTTTGTCAACACTTTAGCAACAATTGCTATACATTATTGATGACTAGTAATAATCACGTGATTAACACGTATAGCAATTGTATTGTTGATTGAATTTCCTTTTCCTGTCGTTCATAGCATTCAAGCATTCATTCAGTCATTCATTGATTGAATGAATGGTGTGTTTGTCTACACATTGATTGCAATTGTCGTCTAATTTAATACCTATTTGTTGGACATGAGAGCGAAGGTTTGTATTGACAATCACTTCTTCGACTATCAACACTTGATTTGATTACTTAATTTAAATCATTTGCTGATTGTTTGATCCAAAAAGTGATGTTTTTTAGTTTTAATTAATTTTTTCAATTTAATGGTGTGTTTTAGTGGCGGAAGAAGAGAATGAGGAGATTGAAGAGGAAGAGGAGGAAAATGAGGGAAAGGTCTAAATAGATGGACGAAGATTGACACCAACGGATGATACGGCAAATTAATCCGATGGTGAGCACAATATTATTGGCTTTTCATGGCTTAAGGGAACCATTGGTTCCGATTATGACAACACTCCTAACGAGTGATTCGATGCAAACCATGGATGTCATCATTAATATTGTCTTGAATTTAATAATAAAATACTTTGTAATTAATATTAATTGCAATAAAAAAGTGTTTCTTAAAATATATGATTTGTTCATTCAGTTTATCTCAATAGCCATTAAGCAATGTGTGATGTGTTGGCCATACATATGCTCGCAATGCTTGTGTAATAATTATATGTATTAACATTCAATTTATTTTTTAATTAAGTGATTATAAATATAAATAAATATTTATAAACATTTATCGGTTAAACAAAACATTAATTAAAATCAGTAAAATTTACTTAAAATCACTTAACAATAATAATACGTTTCATGTTTATGACTAGATATAAAATAAATACATAATCTAATCAATTGGTAAAAATATTTACCAAAAAAATTGATTTCATAAAAAATAAATGCAATATAAATTATTGTAATATTAAAATAATTCACCAGAAAATCAATAATTATCATAACTAGAAGACTAGAAATTTTTAGTGCAATTGTTTTAACAATTTCGGTCATCAATTTGGTCGGCTTTTTTGCCGATAGCATCGGGATTGGCGAGTGGATCCAAATCAGCAAATAGATTGAGCCACGAGGCTATACTGTCACCCGGTTTGGCCTATAAATTATCATTAACAGGTAAGTATAAAATTATATGAATCATTTCTAAGTTACCGTATATACAGATAATAAAGCATAGATTTTATAGTAAACTATTAAAGAAAATATAATAAATAAATAAATAATTTTGCATTACTAAGCATTTTTATAAGATTTACATTGTAAGGCTTTAAAGTATTTTTGATAACTTATCAAGTTGATTTTTTAAATAAAAAATTTACTATAATTTTTTCATAGTTTACTATACAATATATGCCATTTTTATGTGTTATCATAATTATTACTTTATCTTTATTTGCTTTCAAATTAGGTTTCTTATTATCCTTCTGTCCATCCATTTTGGTGTTCATTGGATTTATTGGTGCATTCAATTGAGGAATGGATGCATTCATTGGATTTGTAGTGAAATTCAATGGATTCAAGTCAATGAGCTGACTCGGCATAAATGCGTCAAAACTAGTGGGACTGTGTTTAGCACCGGCACTAACATTGGCACCAATGACTGGAGTGGTCGGTGCGTTCAATATTTCACTCAATAAGCTCATGTCATCCAATTTTCCATCACTTAATGTAAGAATATCTGCATTTTGTTGCTCTTCAATAGATTTAGAGTCTTTTTTAACGCATTTATCTGAGTTTTGATCAAAATTGAGATCAAGTAATGAATTGTTTGCCTTTGCATCGGCCGAACCACTCTTTTTGGATTTATTTTGACTGTTACTCAATAACTTCTTTCCACTGGATTTACTCTTTTTGTTCTCTTTATTCGCTGGTTTTCGTGTGTCATCATCTCTATAGTCGGCATCAAAGAATATGAGACGATCCTTGTCTTCATCGTCATTATCATCGAAAATCTTGCGAATGTCCGCATCCTGAGAGGTCTCTTCAGCCAATTTTCGACTGGTTTCAGTCAACTCTTTTAATGTCGTAAACTCATAGTATTGGTAACCCTTGAATGTGTCGGAGACGGCATTCATAGTTTTAGCCGTCTTTTCCCAAAATAGTAGTGATGTGTTCTGATAGCCGACCAAAGCGTTTGAATACATATTACAACGCGAAGCACTCAAGAGATCGACTTTTTGAATGCAATCAATTTTCAAGCGATCAAAACGGGCTTTGGTTTTGCGGACATGACTCTGGACTTTACGAAACTTTTCCAATTGTTTATAAGTATCCGGATCTAACTGTTGTGAAATGTCTTTCATCCAAAGCAATGCAGCTCTGTATGCAGTGCGGGCCGACTCCATCTTATCAATGGTAAGCATAGTGTCGGCCACAGCACGGTATTGAAATGTCTCAACTTCTTGATAGAGTCGGACCAATGGATTTCTCAATTGGATGCGCTGTTGTGCGGTATAGCAAAGTGTTTTACCCGAGGCCGACATCATTTTGCCGGCGCGTGTCTTATCAAGTTTGGCACACTCTTTGAGAAATCGTCCGGCGGCTGATTCCTCGTGAGCTAAGCCACATATACGGTCCTGATATGCCTCGAGAACTGAGATCAAGTTCTGACACGACTCGTCTATTGATCGCAATAACTGTTGGAAAAAACGATTGATTAGCTATTAAATGATTGATTGGTACATAAATAATAATCAATTGTAAACCTCAAGTTTGGCGTCGAGTTCAGCATCGGATGCGATAATACAGTCATCTTCTTTGCCTTTGAGTTTGCGAAGGAATGTCTGTTTTGTTTGCCAGTAATGTAATTGCATTTTCGAGAGCGCAGAGTCATCGTATCGCTCGACGTATCGGTCATAGGACTGACCGTACAGACCATTGCTGTCAAACAAACAGAAATAACACATCAATACATGTCTGACAATGTCTTAGACACCAACTCTTGACAGTCATATGTTTGTCTCACAAGAGGTTTCGTCACGAGATTTGAGAAACAAAATACTCACGAGTTTGACATTTGCAACGATTGATTGATTGATTGATTCACCACTCAATTGGATGACTAAATGATGACAAACAATGTCTACGAAGACATGGTATTCATTGATGGTATCACTCAATGCCAACACAACTGTCACTCAAATCGATTCCAACGACAACTCAAAGAGTCTGTCAATCACTGGATTTTGAAAACAGTCGTAAATAACGTGACGTTTGACTCAAAAACAAACTAAATTAGTGATTAAAATGTTTTATATTAAAATTAAATTAAATATTTAGTTAATATATTTTTATAAATTATTATTTATTTAATTGATTTATAAATTAAATAAAAATTATAATTAATTAAAACAATTTTAAGTCATAAACCTCTATATAATAGTTACAGATTATGTGTAAAGCGTCTAACGGTTTGACTGTATTGGCAGTGAAAGTGAGTGTAAATAACGTAATGAATGTGAATGTAATGTTTGAGTCCCTGTTGTATACAAAATGAATACAATTGTTATGACAGTTGTGTTGACATTATTATTGGACACAAAATGTTTGTCAATTGAAACAAACAAATAAAAGATGTTTTGATCGCCAAAAACAACACAAAAGACAAGACATTTGAAGTTTTGCAGTCATTTAGGTTTAGTGTCCGCTGTTTGCCGACGACCGACGACCCGATCGTCGATCACATTGACTGCGATTAGTGACGACCACTACTGACCAATCGGTTTGCGACCGAAATTAATGCGCATTTATTGTGTACTCAAAGGCAATCAGTTGACGAAGTATTCAGTGACGGCCACTCGCGATATAACCGACACAACAATCGGCACCGAAATGGCCGACAATAATAATATCGCCTCTCATCAGAGTCAGGCGTATTGTCTGCGACGGGCGAACCATATGTCGGACATGATTGAGAACTTTGACCGCATGTTTAAAGACGAGTCGCTAACCGACTGCGCGCTGATCTGTGCCGAAGGACACGCCATTAAAGCTCACCGAATGATTCTGTCGGCCAGCAGTCCATTCTTTCGTACAGTTTTTGAACAAATGTCGAACCAGTGTCCCAACTATCCAATGGTTTACCTCAAAGACATGCCTATGTCTGATCTCAGAGCTATCATTGAGTTCATCTATACTGGAGAAGTGACGGTCGGACAGGAACAGCTCGAAAGTGTCATCCGATCGGGTGAAGCGTTACGTATTAAAGGTCTCGTCGATATTGATCGCCGAGAGAATACCAATAACAGTACGGCCACTATTGCCAAGAAGAGGCACCGAAAACAAAGGCGTAAACAAAGAAAAACATTGTCCGAGAAGAATGAAAACAATGAGAACAATAAAACAGAGGAAGAGATTGAAGCCAATGATAGCGCTAATACTTCCGATAGTGAAACAGAGTTATCTGACGGAGACACCAGTGATCACTCTTTTGTTGGGACCCCAACTGATCTGAGTGTTTCTCGAACCTATAATGAGAGTATCGCCGCATCCGAGGATGGCATAGAACCGACAAGACTTCTGGAACAGTCTATGATCACCGGAGATGTAAGTAATTTGTTTACTTAACTAAACGGATAATTATTTTTACAAAATTGTTTATTAGACTAGCAATAGTGTCAACTCATCCAATCATAATGATCAGGGTATGTGCTTGTCATTGATGTTATTGAATGTTATGTTAAATGTGATTATTTTTTAGACCGAAAACTCAATTATGACGGCGCCATAGATCTGATGTCACAAATCTCTTCAGCTATAATTAATGAAAATAATGATCACAATCACCGAGAAATACCATCGGTTCCGGGAACAAGTCGTTGTTCACAATTGAAATCTAACGGTATTTTTGTTTGTTTTTAAGTGAAAAAAACTCATGATAATTGATTTTTTTTTTAATTTATGAAAATTTCAAGACAAACGTAAACCTAAATCATCGAAAAAGTCATTGTCGTCAGCCGTGGATCCAACGATACTACAGCTAAGACAACAGAGATTCCAATGTCATATCTGTCATCAAGGATTCACTGCCAAACGCAACCTTCAGAGACACTATCAGATCCATAACTACTACCGGAATAAGTTTGAGTGCGAACACTGTGACCGACAGTTTTCGTGGAAACATACGCTTAATATTCATAGAGAAAAGGCTCATAACATCAAATTGTAGCTATTCTTGTGATTTATTATTATTATACAAAAAATACAGTCACTTATAAATAATATTTCATATAATATAAGAATACAAATAAGTTTACATATTTACAACTTTGTATATTAATTAATACATAACATAATGTCTCCCGATTTGTGGACATTTACCGATAATATAATTCATTTTATCTTTATATTTGATCAATCATTGTGTTACATAATAATCATTTATCTATCATTACATAAGTTTTTATTTATCGTATTTTACAAATTATTATTATTTTGTTTTTTATTTATATACATATACTGTACTATTTGTATAACTCATTGGTATATGTATTTACCAAAGAATACAGTTAATTTAATTATTTAATGTAATTTTTCAGTATTTTTAGTTTTTATATTTTGTAATATAATATAATTTGCACAAATGCCTATATTAGTATAATTACGAGTTGCCAAAATGTTGACAAAAATTAGTCGATTATAAATAAATTATATAAACATTTTTGATATGTGTGTGTGATATTAATTTATGGGTATTACCGGTAATATTAGCAAAAGATGTTTGCAAAAGAAAAGACATATAAATATATATTATTTATAACAATTGAAATTAATTTAAAGTAAACAATCATTAAGTTGTAATGTATATAATATAACAGTTTAGTTGTATATCACGAGATTATAACCTAAATTGTTTTAAAAAGTCATTGAAATAATTTATTTGAATTGTGATGACAATCGAAATATGACTTAAAAGTAAATAAATATTTTCTGTTATAATGTCTAAAGAAAGCAGTAATTCAAGAGATTCAAAGAGTCGGGAAAAGCCTAAAAGTTCAATAAACCAGAATTTAGATAAACAAAAACGTCTGTCAAATAGGATTAAAAGTTCGGATAATAACAAATCAGTTGAATTACCCGCTAGTGATAGAGATTTACTCAACCAAAAAGGTTATACAATCGGTAAACAGCTAAATAGCGGCACATTTTCTAAGGTATGCAAAGCCAATAAAGACAAGAAACCGATGGCCGTAAAGATCATAGACTTGACTAACACATCCACTGATTATAAGAATAAATTTCTTCCTCGAGAGTTATACGTAACTAAGAAATTGTCGCATCCATTCATTATTCAAGTTTACGACATCTATTACATCGCTAAGAGAGTCTATGTGTTCATGGAATTGGCAGAAGGAGGAGATATTCTTGATTTGGTTAAGAAGGGGGGTATCATTGAAACTAAGGCTAAATCACTATATAAAGGATTGGCCGAAGCCATGAAATATATTCACACTTTGGGTATCGCTCACAGAGATATCAAAACTGAAAATTGTTTGTTAATCGATAAAATGAAATCTGTGGCCAAAATATGTGATTTCGGGTTTTCTCGGGCCTGCTTTGACCACAACACCGGCGAAAGACAACTCAGCGAAACATATTGTGGAAGTGTTGCCTACGCGGCGCCCGAAATATTAAAAGTCAGACCTTATAATCCAATGATCAGCGATGTCTGGTCTATGGGTGTCGTACTCTTCGTTATGACCAACAGAAGAATGCCATTTAATGACGAAAATCCAAAGTTAATGCTTAGTTCACAATTGGAAAAGAAATATCTATTGAGTGATTCGCTTTCAGATGATTGTAAAGAACTGATCCGAAGACATCTCGACCCCAATACTGCCACCAGAATTACAATGAAGGATGTGGTGAATCACAATTGGTTTAAACAATAATTTATTTGACAACAAAAAATTGACAAAAATATTTTATAGATTTTGTTTTATATTTTTATATAAATATTTTTTTTAAAATTCTAATTTATTGCTAATTTTAATTGTATAGTCTTTTCTTAATTTTTTGATAAAAAATTAACTTAAATCAATAGAATTTAACTTATAAATTAAGTCAGAATAATTTGAATTAAAAATAAAAGTTTAGATTGTATGTTTTTTTAAATAAATAATTTTATAACTTTATAATATCATTAATATTATTAATTATTAATACATGTATAATCATCATAGAAATCATTGCAAAACCTATTGTACAGGTGTTTTAATGAGTAATGTATAAAAATATAAATCTTATGTTTACCTTATGGGAAACTACTGTACAATGATTTATGAATTTTAAAACAAAATATATTACAAAGATGTCTATTTTATTTAATAAATACTGAATAATGCAATTATTGTAATATTAAAAGTAAACCATTATTTAGATGAGTGCACACATATGTAGGACAACAAAAAATATTTTATCATAATTTCCAATTGTATGTATGCTAAGAAACTTGTGGTTAGGAGCGCATAGTTATCATATTTTATCATATTTTTATTAACTACAGTATAAACATATTTTTCAATATCAGTGAGACGTATGGCACACATTTCAATATGATTTTAAATTATTAAAGCCATTGAAAAGTGCTCTCAATATCATTGCAAACCAGTTCAGTGTCAATATGTTTCTCATTGAACTAAATGAATCCTTGAGTTTATATGAATTAAAGCTTTCAATAATAAATTTGGTTTATATTTAACTTTTAGATACATTTTTGTCTGTAGCGATAATTTTCGTTTGATTTTCACGGGGTTTCAAGGGCTGACAGTTTGCTAAGTAGTTATCAGTCTATTGCTGACTATTTTTTAAAAAAGAGATAAACTACAGTATTTACAAGTATTTAAACAATACATTATAATGATTAATTAATTAATTAGTTTACTGATAACTGAAATTGCTTGTGTCATAAATTATATTATAGCTGACATAACATGAATATTATTTAATAGTTATTTTTTAAATAAATTTTATTAGTTTTTTTTAGAAATTTTTTTAATTTACTGAATTATAAATTATTTTAGACAATTAATTAAAAATATATATCTATAATTAAAATTATAAATACAGCTAGATGTATAAAGTAGTTGAATTTTACTTTATAATTAAATTATTATATTTAATTTGATGTTTTATTATAAGTTAAATTTATATACTATTTATATTTATATAGTTAATTATTATCATTTTATAGTTTAATGGTTTCTTATTAAACAATAATAATAAATAAATAAATTGTTAATAATTTTATTGTCAGATATACGGTATTTAAGAATAACTTGTTATCGCAATTGAATAAAAGGATATTTTATTTTATTTATAAATTATAATAATAATAATAATAATAATAAATTGCTGACATTTTATGGTTATTTGCTATAAATATATAGACACATAAAATTAACTTTGAAAATTTTAAATTCATTGTAACGATAATTATAATATTAATAGTAAAATTATATTTAAAAATATATTTTTCCTTAAAAAATTATTTTAAATATAATTATAAATTGAGTGTTAGAAAAATTAAACAAAATATCATTAAATTTAGTGCAATAATCTTATTTGTGTAAATCTAATCATGAATATATAAGCAGTTCATTAACTTTTATTTGAAAAAACTATTGCCTTATGTTATATGTAATAAAACCCTAATAATTTCATAACAAAAGCAAATATGCATTATTATTATATTAAATCAAACAAACAAATGTAAAAATAATGTAAATTTTTTTGATTATATTTTCTAAAGATAATATAATTCAATTTTTTATATATGAAACTATAATTCTTATAGCTTTTAATAAAATAAAAAAATTTGATAAGTTTATGCAATATAATGGATACCATAATATATATTATTTGATTTGTTTTTTTTAAATAAATATAATGAATCATATCATAGGATAACTACAAAAAAGTGGAGTAAAAGTAATTTTTATTTAATAAAATCTAATCTAAAAGTGTTTTTAATATGATTAGCAAACAATTTTTTTTCAATGTTGATGTAAAAAATTGTTTATTATAATTTATATATAATATAAATGTTTATAAAAAAAATTGATTGAAATATTTATTCAATGCATTGTTAAGCAGTTGGCAATAATTTTAAAGATCAGATTAATATCATAATATTATTCTCTAAAATTGCAAACAATTTTGTTGTTACGGATGTTTGTTTGCCGACAAACAAGTGTGTGATCTATACATATCATACATAATTGTGTATACATTTGACAAATCAAGTGCTTTAATAATAAACATATAAACAAAATATATATTTAATTAATTTGAATGACAAACAATACAGTGATTAACATAAAAAATAGTTATAGAAATATTATATTTAATTTGAAATACATATTACTATACATAGAGATCCATACATATACAGAGAGAGAGAGAGAGAGAGAGAGAGAGAGAGAGAGAGAGAGAGAGAGAGAGAGAGTATTTACAGTACATGTAGTTATAGTATACTATACAGTGTTTAAAAAGTTATTACAGTATTAATGTATTAATGAGTGATTGTATGAATCAATAGACGACACGAATGATTGCATAACTGGACGGCAAATGTGTTGAAACTTTTGTTAATTAGTTGACGTTATTGTTGTTATTGTTGTGCTTATAGTGTGTTGTATTGACTGAAACACTACTTATTGTAATCGTATGTCAGTTTCAGTTCACTTTGAGAGCCAAACTGTGAACGCAATTAAACTGCACTTAATATTACAGTAAATACTATTAAATGCCAACAATTATTATAGACATCGTTTGATGGATCAATTGGCCGAAGACTATCACATAATTGTATTTGAATTATCAGTTTATCGACATATCATTATTGTTGGTCACCGATAGCTATCCAACCGATACCCATATTGTTTGTATATTAATGCGATGACTGTCTCTACAAAGCCATTGATAATATAATATCGAGTGAAAGGCATTTGTGTTGTTATTATTGTTGTCGTTATAACCTAATTATCGGATCAATTGAAGTGATCGCTGCAGACTAACGATGTCAAACATATCGGATAATATAAATGCTGTGGTAATTGATTGCGTTTATTGTAATAAAGATATTATTATTATTACACAAGATTTGATAATCACTTGAATTATTTTTGTTGACATCAATTGAGACCTAATTTCCTTTAAATTGTGTCCGACTTTTAAAAAAGTGTTTTCAATCAAAGAGTTTGTTGTTTAGAGACAATAATTGTTTTAATTTATTGATAATTAAGTTGATGTCTGGTGTTAGACCACTGTAAACGATGAGTAACGACGATCCACACATGTTTCCAATGGATCCGATGGACGAATCGGACAGTATCGGCGAGTTTGACCAATCGGATGACGCCATTATTACGCCTCATCAGGTATGGTATCATTTGGCCAATTATACAGCAAAAATAATTATTGACTCTTGTCTATTGTGGTCATAGATTGTCGACTACGAGCCGACCAGTATTCGCGACTTATGTGAAGAGAACGGAACAATTCTGGACTCAGTCGAGTTGACCGAACAAATGGTGAACTCGGGCCACGAGAGGACGTCGACGAAGGACTTTGAGCTATTGAAGGTATTGGGAAAAGGCGGCTACGGAAAGGTGTTTCAGGTGCGCAAAGTGACCGGAAAAAACACGGGTAAAGTATATGCCATGAAAGTGCTCAAAAAGGCAACCATTGTCCGCAACCAGAAGGACACCGACCATACAAAAGCCGAACGCAATATATTAGAGTCAGTGAAACACCCGTTTATTGTTGACCTCATTTACGCTTTTCAAACGGGAGGCAAATTGTATTTAATTCTCGACTACTTGAGTGGTGGCGAACTGTTTATGCATTTGGAACGGGAGGGCATTTTCTTAGAGGACACGGCCTCCTTTTATATATCGGAGATCATATTGGCTTTGGAGCATTTGCACAAATTAGGCATTATCTACCGTGACCTCAAACCCGAAAATATTTTGCTCGACTATCGCGGACACGTCAAGCTTACCGACTTTGGACTCTGCAAAGAGGCCATTCAAGACGGCAAGTTGACCCATACGTTTTGTGGTACTATTGAATATATGGCTCCTGAAATATTGACCAGAGTTGGCCACTTTCACGCCGGTATGTAAATTAGTGATGACAACGTAATAATATTTTTGTCTACAAAATTATCAATTGAATTGAAGTATCTTTTGATTTGAATTTGTTAACAAAAATGTTATTTTTTGTTAGTTTATGAGCTTTTGTTTATAATGAATATGTATGGCTAAACCCTTAGCCGATTGGTGGTCAATGGGAGCCCTTATGTATGACATGTTGACGGGCGCTCCGCCGTTCACCGGTGAGAACCGCAAGAAGACTATCGATAAGATTCTGAAATGCAAACTAAATCTTCCGCCATATTTAACACCCGATGCACGCGATCTGATTCGTAAACTACTGAAGCGTCAAGTAAATCAACGTCTAGGCGCCGGACAAGACGATGCCGTTCCCATTAAACGACATCCGTTCTTCAGACATGTCAATTGGGATGACGTATTGGCTCAAAAAGTTGAGCCGCCATTCAAACCGGTGCTGAGCAGTGATGACGACTGTTCACAATTTGATACTAAGTTTACAAAACAAACGCCTATTGACTCACCCGATGAGTCATTGCTCAGCGAATCGGCGAACAATGTATTCTTGGGCTTCACTTATATAGCGCCGTCCGTTTTGGAAGAGATGCACAAACCAACTAAACCAAGAAATTATTCGCCGCGAAAGGCAAATGCCAGTCCAGATATACTTAACTATCACTTGAAAGGTACGCCCAAACAGATCCACTTCGGCAGCCCAGACATCAATGGCAGGTATGCAAAGTTGAGTGAAGTCGAAGAAATGGACTGTTCTAATCCGTACTCTAATAATAACATTACTTCTATATTTAATACAAAAACACCGAACCGGTCGCCATCACTACCCGTCAAAAATATAAAGAAAGTGAGTGACAATAAACATAATGGCAATGAACACAATAAGAAAAAATAATTGAATCAAATCTTTATTGTTATTATTATTATTATTGATTAATTAATTATTAATAATCTATTATTTGGTTTTGATAACTCTAAAAATAAAATTTTCATTAAACAGTTTTTAAATGTTATTTTCCATACTCTAGCGATAAACAATTACCGTTACTAACTAATTATATTTTTGTATTTTTTGTTTTCTAATTTAGTATCAACTTTGACCCCTTGCCTCACGATTTAGGATTAAGTAATTGAATTTTTTAAAGCAATTAATCTAATATCTTATTGTTAAATTAATTATATTTAATTTATTTATAATTGAATTTTATTATAATTAAGAGAATATTTAAATGCGTGCCTAATTATATATATATATATTATAAATATTAATTATAAATCAATTTTTATACTAACAATTTTGTTTTAATGTAAGAAATGTTAATTTTCCCTTAAGATTTGCACTATTTTATTATTTAAAAAATATAACAATTCACACATTTATAGATAATAAGAAATTACAACTATTTTTTATTTAAGAAATATTGATATCATTTAAAATTTAAAAATAGTTATTTATCTTGAGTTTAACATTAATTACAAATCCGAATCATTTTTAGTATAAGTACTGAGAGTCTGAACCAAATCAGTGATTAATTCTGACCTAAAAAATTGAAATTAAAATTGTTTAATATTTGTTTCAAAACTTTTTGTTGTTTTTTAAAATTTTTGAATACTTACTGATTGGCCAACATTTCTTTGATGCTTTTAATTTGATTGGGAGAAGGAATGGTAATCTGATTAGACAATAAACTTCTTTGCTGTCGATTGTGTTGTTGTTGAGCGCCGTTGTTATCATCCAATTGTTGATTTTGTTGTGTTTGATACTTGCATTTGACTTTGATTTGTTGTAATTTATTTCTGTGTGAACTCAACTTATCGGTCACACTATTCAACTCTTCCCTCAACTGGATCTCAGCGCCGGACAACTCAGGCCTTTGGAACTGAAGATTTTCCAATACTTTGTCGATTCGATTTGAGAGCTCTTCCTGTCGTTCCCGAGTTGTGTCATATTTGTCGATCAAGACTATCAGTGAATCCATGAGCTGATCCTTTTCAATCAAACATTTGTCTAACTCTCTAAACTGAATATCTTTGTCATTAGACAACACTTTGACCCGTTTCTCAATGGCATTGACCGCCAAATCATACTTTTGTATGTATTCAGTCTTCAAAGTGTCAGTTGTGGTCAACACGAGTTCTAAGTTTTGCGACAAATCGTTATTTGACGAGTCTTTAGATTTTAGTAACGGAACGCTTATATTGCGTTTAAGCAATTGTTTGATATAATCACTAAAATTAATTTTCGGTAAAGAAAGATCTGATGAAATAGTGTCAACTTCTTCGAGTTCATTGTCGGTTTCATCGAAGATGTGGGCGATATATGTTGGCGTCAATCGACGATATAAAAGTTCGCCAGAGCTTAACATTACTAAAACATATGTAAAACCTTTCCGTACGCCAACTACAATACCCAATGGAACGGTAGAACCCAATGAATCACCGTTAGATCTAACTGATCCGGCAACAGATTTTGTGCAAATTAAATGCTCTACAATTGACTCCTCTTCGCGAAACTCTTGTATATCTTTTGACTTAAGTTGTGAAATGAAAGGGATTGATATGGCGTGAACTCCACAGGAATGACTACAAAAATACCGCATCGGTATCATCTGATCCTTATGTAGTCGCAACAAACAGCTCATGTCCTGATAGTCACCGCTTGTAGTCAATGAAAGAGACAACTCAATTGTCTCATAAACAAAAAGTGTTGGTTGAGGCAAAAGAGTGTGATTTGAGTCCAGATCATCTTCACTATCAATGGCAATGCAGTGATGAAGAACACCAAATGAAGTGGCAATTATGAGAACGGGTGGTACACAGTCTAAACATATAATACTACACGCGTCGACTCCGTAATTGTCTTCAGCCGGCGGTCTAATAGTTAGCGGACCGAAGATAGTGTTCGATACGTACGAGTATTTAAAACTTGAATAAACCAACAAAACATCTCCATTTCCTCTCAAAATATAGATTGGTGTTAAACACTCATCAGTATTGGTCATCGATGACGGTTCTGTGTCGTAGCACTTGGATATCGATGGTGCGAAGTCAAAGCTGATTGCATTTTCACCCAATGAGAAAGCGATTGGTGATACACCAAAATGTGTGATGGATTTGTTGTTGATATCAATATTGGATAAGTCAATGATCTGTTCAGGAGTTTCTTCTTCAAAGATGTCAAATAGTCTGAAAAAATAGTTCAAAAAGTATGATAACAACCGGTATTAACAAAATGACAAAACAATTGAATAAAAACCAAACCTTAATCTGTTATCATTAGTGAGTAAAACAATGCAATCGTGAGGACTGATTGGATGCCAACGACTGCAAAGTAATTCAATGTTATGGTTGCAGACAAAGAAGCGTTGGGCCAAAGGCCACGACCGGCATAATAGCGGCTCTTTGGCCACATTGTAACGATCGGCGGTCGGCAATTTAGGTGGCAATTGGACAATATGAATGCCACGGCTACCACAAAGAGCTAGATAGCGACCGGTACGACACAAGTCAAGACTGTCCACATCGAAGAGCGGAGCGTTTGTTAGGCTAAGTCGGTCAGAGCGACAAACAGTATTGTCGGACAACAATTGCAGACAAGAAATCGACTGTAGACTCGGCCGCCACACCAACAAGTGATTGTCGTGCAATGCCAACAAATTGGCCGATTCTGGCCACTCGTGAGTGTCGGTCTCCGACCAGTCGAGTGACCCGTCAATTGCTTTCCAAACACTGTTTGTCATTATATTGTCAACACATTTGCCGATTGTTTTCATCAAAACTAATGTTTTTATACTTTATATGCATTTATGCCATACATTGACAACAATAACGTTTAAAATGTTTTTCCCATTAAATTCCCGATCGATCCAAACATTTTCAAACCAGTCGACCCATTAAATTGATAATTATTTTTAATTATTTTTTAATTATTTTTCCGAATATTTTTTATATAATTAGTAATAATTTATTACTATTAATTGAAATCATAAATTAATTTGTAAAAAATCAAAACTTTAGTAATTTTTACTAATTTTATTTAGTTTTACTAAACCAAAAGTTTTAATATCATATTTTTATGATAACAATAATAATACATATTTTGTTTCATTAATAGTTTTAAATTTAATTACAACACTTGTTGACAATTTGTGTAAAATATTATTTGCTTTAATACTTTTAAAAACAATATTTTACCATGAACAGCTAACTTGATCATATTTAAGATACTTATTACTAACTATATAACTTACTAAAAAAATTAAAAATATTACAAATAAAATATATTAATAATTTTAATGACTATTTATATTAATAGAACTTAAACATTAAATTTAAATATTGTTTACTATTTTGATAATTTAATTTAATTTCGATATAAAAATCTATATAAAAAACATTTTTTTCACAACTTTTAAGTTATACCCAATATATGTGATTAAAAACCCGTAACGCGTTGGTTATCCCTAATCAATGACTGCCAAAAACTGTTTGTTACAATATCTGGTGATACTATAGGCAGCGCTATTAGTATCATAATAGAGATTATATTATATATAATATAACAACAGTAGTAGTTTTGGTGGCGGTGTGTGTGTTTGTGTTGGTGATGGTTAGACACACATGCGCTGAGATAATGGATGTGAAAGATATGATTGCAATGCTAGTCTATGTGAAAGATTGGCACACATTAGCATTGGTTTGGGCGCAATGGCTGATCCCAATGTGCAGCTGATCATTGACTTCTGCAAGAGTCTCGATCTCTCACAACTGCAGGTAAGGACAACCAATTTTTTTATATTATTATCTGTCTATACCTTTAATTATCACGAAAAATAAATTATATATGCAATGCGTTACCTATGCTATCGACTATGTCAGCTAATAGCACCGTAAGCTTTAAATGTAGCGCCGATTTAGTTGAATGAATAAAAAATTATTATTAAATTCAAGAAACAAGTGATTAATATTAATATACAATCGGTTTGAATGAATAAATTAGAGATAAACTGAAAGAGTGACTAAACTCTAGCGAAACGATTTTCAATACATTTATCTAAATGTGTTTTTTGGTTTTGTTTGTTATTCATGTTATTTGATTGCTATTATTATTATTATTATATTTCATTTCATTTGGTGTGATATTAATAGAAATAACGGTTTCAATAGTGAAGAAGCAGTTGTTGTTTCATAGCCAACAAAACGTGGTGTCAAAAGGCATCACTCAATCCAATCATCAAAATAAACTGCAAATAACTTGTTGTTGTTTTTCGCGCTAACACTACATGACTGCAGGCAAAGCATGCTTTCAGAGGTCTGCGGTCTGTAAGGCAATAAAAAAAGTCACTACTATTTGACTACTACTCCTCTTGTCTCTCCATCGACAGCATCCATACACACACACACACATACATACATACATAGACACACACACACAAACACACACAAACACACACACATAGACAACACATTCATACACACACTCTAACACTACAAAACCACTGCCGGAGTTTGGATATTGCAATATATCAACATTCATTCACTCAATAAATTGTTGATATTTATTATGTAATATATTAGGAAAGCCAACAAAACAACAACAAAAAATTGCTTACATTTACACTTAAGTCAACTTTAGATTAAGACATTCACTCTTTTTTTATTATTTTTATTATTATTGATATCATATTATTGAATAGTGTTATCACTACTCAACCAAATACTGACCAAAAAAGAGAGAAAAATAATCTTTACTTATTTTGTCACTATTTCTCACATACTATTGATATCTTATAATATTGAAAATATAATCAATTTTGCCGATTCTCACTGTTTTTCTCTATAAAACTTACAGTTATATATTATATATATAACAGTAGTACAGTATTATATACAATGTTATCTATCTATTTGTGTAATAATAAAACAGTGTTTTATTTAGCATTTAAAGCAATGCCTTTTATACAAATAAGGCATAAGTTTTATTTTTGTCGGCAAACGCCTTAAGCACTGTATTTACAATACATTTATTCCCTTTAAAGCCAGCGATAGATAGATTGAATAAATGAAAGAAAAAAAATTTATTCAATAAATAGTGAAAATCCCGAAAGTTTTATTTATTTTAAAATCCAACGACAAAGTTATATTGTAATACTTTATTTGAAATGTTTTTGAAATTGTAGGCAAACTATTATACAACAATTGACTTATCACTGTACCTATCAATTATACTATTGGTTTTTGTTGTTTAAATTAAATCTATCGGTTAGATAAATAACATAAAAATGTTATCCAACTGTTATCCGATTGGATTGTTATTTACAATATTGTCTGTTGTCTTAAACTTAAAAGCAATGATTTGATTTGAGTTAATAAACAGTTAAGACATTGTATTGCGAGAAAATCAGTGAACAATAAGTTGTAATATTATGAGCCATTGGTTGTCATGAATGAGTGCTGGAATGTCCTTTTGCTGCCAGAGATCACATCAATTTCAAGATTATTATATGAAAACAGTTAAGATTATTGAGTCGAGAGATAGTGAGTGAGTGAGTAAGTGAGGAGAGAGAGAGAGAGAGAGAGAGAGAGAGAGAGAGAGAGAGATGAAAGCTTAGGCCAATTTAGACTCATATCAGTTGTCTTGTCTACTCTTATTACGAGCAATTGAGTCGTGTGTTTGTGTTAACTCAAAGCCACTTTTGTCGCTTATTTTTCTTTCATTGTCTTTTATATACCAGTGCTCACTCGCAAACAGCACTCATATATAAATATATATATATACTATTTACAAACTTTTGTATGGCTGACCAGTGATGATAATTTGCTTATTTTCCCAATACAATCAAACTTTTTTGTTGTTGGTATATACTATCTTATACTTGTTGTTGTTTTTTTGTAATATTGTTTCATAAAAAATCAAAGTATAACATATCATTAGTAGTGATTGATTTAGCAATTGATGTGTTACTTAAAAAAAACTAATCATAAAATGATAGTGAAGTGTATTACAAATTAGTTACAAGTTTTTTGAACAAATGCCAAACTGTTAGGACATTAAATGTGTGATCGTTTCTAAAAAAATATTTTTGAAATAACATCAATATATTCAATACAAATAGATATATCTCTGATATTTTTTTTAATAATAATTTATTTTTTTCTCGATTAACTCGGAATTTAATTAAATATTTTCACACAAAAATATTCAATATATTTGTATAGAAATCAAACATATTGTGAGTTATATATATACAGTATATATATATATATTGTATATACACAGTAAATGTGTTGCCTTTCTTTGCTTTTATAAACACATTATATATATATATATATATATATATTTCACATATTATATACATGTATATAACAATATTTTATACATAATGATTTTGTGTGATACTATATATATATATATATATATATAAAATATTATTTCTGAGAATCAATTCTCGTATTGAAGAGAAAAAAGTCTCGACGTTTTCGTGCAAATGCTTTGTATTAGAAAATGATTTTATTTACATATTTGTGGAGTAATTTGAAAAAATACAAATGTTATGAACTACAGTAAAAACTACATTTATACATATTATTAATGTTACAAACATGAAATAAAAATGTTTATATAGTAAGAAAAACATACAATTTAAATATCTATGTTGTTGTTGTTGTGTACAGCATATAATACAATATTGAAATTATTACAATATATACGAAATAAGTATAAATTTATTGAAATGACAAATAATTTAATAATATTCAATATATAGTATATATGTTTAAACTCTTTTCTATCAATTGAATAAGATTTTGGGTCCAAAAATGATAACATTAGTTATAATATATAATATTTGTGTATATATTGTTTGGTTTTGAAAATATATGAATATTTGTCGCCCGCTGTGTATTACTGTATTTGTTGTTATAAGTTGTATATATATTCTACAGTATATGAACACAATTTATATATAAGTTTTCTGATGATTATATGAACATAACTTTATTGATGTACATTATATTCAACAAAAATTTTTGCCAACTGATCGGCAATGCTTGTTATGATATCATTTACTGTCTATTGTCATATTTATATCAAAATGATTCAATTGAATACCATATTTGCCTTTAAATTTTTGGGTATTATTGCAATTGCAATATGTATGACATCGACTGCTGAGTGCTGATAGACAAGAGAAGTAGAGATAAATACATTGTGTGTGTCTGAGTGAGTATGTGTGTGTGTGTGTGTGTGTGTGTATGTATGTGTGTGTGTGTTTGTTTGTTTGTTTGTGTATGTGTGTGTAGGTCTGTGTGTGTATTTGTGGGTCTGTGTGTGGGTTTGTTTGTGTGTATAAAGGCATTGCAAATCAACAAATGTAGTGAATTTTTATAAATGTATGAGTACTACATATCACAGCCATTGATAAGTATGTATAAGCCATCATCTCTTTATATTATATAAGGCTATAATTGTCAGCACAATATATATTTGATAAATATTGTCGTCGATATTCATTTAGGAGTAGTTGACTATATTTTTCAGTATCATATCGTATAATATCATTTATGATAAGCATTATCATAGATTTTATATCAGTATTTGATGCCCCGTTATGTCTATGAATTGTATACACATAGAGAGTGCCATTGCCTGTGGTATTGATTTGGAAAGTCGTGCCTTTTGTGTTTCTTGCTTTGCACCAAATATATGGTATGCATATTAAAAAGTATTGATTTTCTACATATTAGTAATTTCTAAGAGAGAGAGAGAGAGAGAGAGAGAGAGAGATTGAATGAGAGAGTGTTGAGCATCAGCTCGAGTCTGATCATTGAGAGAGTGAGGGAATATAAGTTAGTTTTGAACCGTTGTTTGCAATGTATTTCATTGATATCCCCTTTTGCTACTAAAACATTAAATGAATATTTTTCGCGATTGCGATCCCCATTCACTTCTCATAAGTTTGTCATATGCGCACTCATACATACATTATATATATATATATATTACTATTATAATACCAACAATATACAGTTTATATATATATATATATATATATAATTTCTAAGGTATACATATATAAATTTATATATTTATACTGTATATAGTAATACATACATTTGGTTAAACTTTTTTCCTCTCTATTTGAGAAAACAGTCATATCCTTAACCATTGACACAAAGAGAGAGAGAGAGAGAGAGAGAAAAAGAGAGAGCGAAATATTGAGAAAGAAATGCAAACTAAAAGATTGCTTTTGTTGTGTTAAATGTACTGCAAATCTAGCGTTAAGTATCAGCCAATATGTATATTATTGTTGTTATAATAAACATTTTTGCATTTAATACTACTGTATACGATAGCTCTAATTTGTAGAGAAAGAGAGAGAAAAAAAGTTTTTTATATGCCGTTCCCCTCAATCCTTACTAAGTGTTTAATCTAAAATTACCGTATTTTTTGTACGCATATAATGTTATAATAAAAATTCTTTGAACATGAATAAGCTATAGAAAGATTTAAAATAAAAGTTTTTTTTAAAATAAATATAGATTTTTCTTTATTTAGTTATATTTATATATTATACATAAAGTATATTTACTTTTTTATCGTCTTCAATAAGTTATAAAAACGATTTATTTATGTATATTTTATATATTGTTATCAAGATATTAAAATAGGCGTTTTTTATTATTGGCATTTTATTTTATAACTTATAGTTTTCTGACCATATATTAAATATTAAAATAAAATAAAAATAAATAGCATTTTATAGCTGACAAAA